TCCTGTTTGCTAAACACGGTCACGTTTGCGCGCCCGCCGACATCTTTTATTTTGCGAATGTCACATGTCGCAGCGTCAATTACACAAACGACGCTCGCAAACTATACTTATTACAAGTATTAAAATGTGTCTGTATAGCATATGATAAGTTGCAAAACACAGATGTAATGGCTTAGCAACTGGATAACTAATCTATATTTAAAAAGTTGTGTAATTTCGATGTTCTAACACGCTAATACAATTTCTTCACATGAAAGTGAAGCCAAGTCGGCGGCTCTAAAAGTATTAAACCTGTTGAAAAAACTTAACAATGTTCTAAGACAATATTTTAAACAAGTGGGATATAATGACAGGAATGCTGTATCACCCATATTAAGACCAGACTTAACGCAAGGTGAATTAAACAGTCCATACTTGCCGTAAATTCTTATAAAAATGTTTGCCTTGACATATAGTTAAAATGCATTTACTTACCTATTAAAATTATTACTCCTAAGAACGCTTCGTTGTTACGTATGCGATATGGATGTTCCTAAGCATAGATGTATTATTTACTTATCTTTACCTAATAATAAATAACATTTCGTTCTGTTTGTCCGCAGAATGTCCGACGGAGACGTTTCCTTGATCCGCGACGAGGATCTCCTGCGACGCATGGTAACAATTTATTAATTTTGTTATTTTTAAAAATACTTATGACCATTTTATATATATATATATTGTAATAAATTAATTATAATACTTGGTCACTAACTTGGTTCTTAAATTGCTGCGCTGAAAGTAATAAATAAAAGAATCTAGTAAAGTTGCCTTATTTGCAACTGAACTTTATTAAGTATGTGTGTGTGTGTGTTGCAGTGGCAGCAGACTCAAGACTTCTCTAGGAAGAAAGAGATCCGCGCGCACATGTATCGGCTGCGCGAGGAGCGGCTGCGCAACCTCTATTCGCCGGAGCCCGCCTCCGACACCAAAGGTGACAATACTTACATTTCAAATATTTTTAAACGATATATTTATTTATATATACATATATTGTACCTCTCAATATTTATTCTTGTTATTATTTATATAAAGTTACCACTGTAGTATTGTCCCCGGCGCAGGTTGTGAGTTCTCGTCGTCGCAGGGCCACGTGAAGTCCTTCGCGGACCAAAACTTCCAATCCATGAAGAGCAAGGAGGTGCGCGACGCGGGCTCTCCGCCCAAGGAGTTCGCGTACCGTGGCCAAGGTTCTCCTGCACGTCTGCACCGACATAACCCTAACAGAACTAACGCCTATTAAACAGTAACAGTGACAACAATTTCTCTACATGTGGCTCATACTCTTCTAATAATTTTCAGATCTGAAGGACCTCTCCAACGCCGGTTGGAATGTGGAGTCCGAGAACAGAACGACTGACGATGGCCACACCCACATCAAAACTGTTCAAGCGAACATTGAAGGCAAATACGACGTAGAGGGTGGACAGGGCCAGTTCGCAGCTGTCGATCACCATAAGCAAGCTGTCACCCAGTACGACGACGGCAACACCAGCCTGAAGAGGAACGAGAGCTCGTCCAACACCGCCGCTCACGAACAGGTTGTGCGTCAAACCGACGACGGGTCTCATTTTTCAAGCACCACCAGCTCCTCCACCTCTACGTCCAAATTCCAAGAATTCTCTTCGGCCACCCATGACGCTGCGCCGTACATTACTGACGGCTCGAATGTAAAAGAACAATTTTATGATAACAAACGTAACGAGGAAATGACTACAAAAAGGATGACTACAACGAACGACTATGAAAGTAGTCTGAGAAACAATAATGATCAAGGAGAACTAGTTTCGAGAAAAATTGAATATCCCGATGACAATACAAAAGTAATAGTGGAGACGAGATGCCTCCCTGATGGTACTAGAGTTACGAGCACTCGCCGAGAGTTTCGAGCGCCTGTGGTCCAGAGCAGTCGTTCAGAGCGCCATTCACAGCAAATGAAAAGCGAAAGTAAATCCTCGTCTTTTTCGTCTACGAAACGCTCAGATTTAACGGAATCTTTGTCTAATAACATCTGTGATACATTCACCGACCGTTCTAACGACATTGTTGACAGTCAAAGACATTTAGATGAGTATGATTTTAAGAGAAGTCATGAATATGATTATTCTACAAATGAAAAGGATGATTACAAAGAGAAAGTACAACATCGCAGTCAGGAACAGAGAAATGAGATTAAAGTAGATGAAGTTAACAGACGAGAAGTAATATCTTCAGAAGATGACCAACATAGTAGACGCATTCAACAATTTCGAAAAGTAGACGATGTCAAAGACGATTTTCATCGCGATGTAATATCGTCTGATGTCCACAGTGTCAGGCGTAATGAAATAAATGAGTTCGATAAATTCGATCAACGTGAAGTAATATCCTCCGAAAATGACCACCGTGTTAGACATCACGACATTCAAGAGTTTGATAATGTAAACCGTCGTGAAGTTGTAACATCGGCAGATACCCAACATGTTCGACGCCACGAAATAAATGAGTTTGATGTAGTAGATCGGCGAGATGTCTTGTCATCGGAAGACAAACAACAAATTCGAAGATATGAGAAAACAGAGGAAGATGACATGAACGAAGTTAACCGGGAAATAAAATTATCTACGGATAATCAGAATTTTAGACGTCACAATGTAAAAGATGAGACTATACATAAACAAGATAATAAAGAAATTATACATTTCGTAAAAAATGATAAAAAAGTCGAAGAAACAGTTGAACGTAAGACTAGTACAGATTCTTATCAAACCACATATCAATCTGATTACACCAAGAAAAAAATTAGCACAGATTACAGCCCTTCACATCAAGCTTGGGCCAGCACTTTAAGATCGGACACCCCAACTCGTCCGTCGACCAGAGCATCTTCACCGGGTAGCAGAACTTTTGCGTCGAGCAATTCTTCTCTAAGAAGTAGTGTCAGCCCAGACAAGACTTATAGAAAGCCAAGTAGCCGCGGAGGAAGTCCTGACAAGTCCTATAGAAAACCATCTAGCCGAGGCGGTAGTCCGACAAAAACCGACAGATCCTCTCCAAGTCGTAACACCTCAAGATATTCTAGTACTCACTCGACGCATTCCTCTACAGAAATCAAAACTAATAGACGTACCGATGATATTCACCACCATGCCACACCAAGTTCCAAATCTCCTAACAGGTCCTTTAGCCCCGAAAAGAAAGTTGATAAAGGTTACCACCCAAGATCGAGTGCCAGTCCTGAAAAACCTCCTTCATCGTCAAGATACCAAACGAGTCCTGGCTATAAATCTACTTCTCCTTCACGTGTTCCACAAAACAATTTTACTCCAACCAAACCAAGTGTTAGTCCTGAGCAATCTAAAGATACAGAAATTTCCTCTACTGCACCTACTCGCAAAATTTCGCCAGATCGATCAAACGTTCTAAGACCTACGGCAAGACTCAGACCAAGCCCTAACCGGGAACCAAAAGAACATAAGGACTCACCTACAAGACCAACTTCAAGTCCCGAGAGGAAGGCAAGTGCAGGACCAAATCAAAGGAAAGGTGAAATATATACAACGTCACCAATTCGTGGTAATTCCCCAGTTAAAGATTCAACTAATGTAAGGCGTTCTCCTACACCACAGTCACATTATGATTATCCACCATCGGCTGACGCTACGAAACGCGATAGAAGTCCTGACAAGAAAGAAATAAATAAAAAATTCAACAATAGAATGTGTCCTGCTGAAATACAGAACAAAACCCCTAATTACCAACAAAATGAATATGCCGACAGACATAGTGATAGTCCGAATAAAGATAATAATACAAAATCTGATATATCAGGACCGAGTAAAAATCAGCATCCAAAACAAATTTCAAGTGAAGAAAGAAAACCTGACAATGATATTAATATTAAACAAAACGATTATATTAAAAATACAGAGCTATTAAAAGAAGATCACTATAAATTAATCGACGAAGAAACTAAAATGTATACTCCCATTAAAGACAAAAATAAAAATCATCCATCTATCCCGAATGAACCAGAAACAACGCAATATGGACGAAAAAAATCAGAGAGATCGCCGTCCCCGAATAAAAATTCGGTTACATTTACAGAAAATAACATAACTGAAACACATTATAATAAAGAGGAGCAGCGCACTAAGATGTCAAGTGAATATATCAAACGTGTAGACACAAATGATAAAAACAGTTTTCCTCAAAAACATGACAGTCCCGATCGTTTAAACAATAAGAGCACATCGAGTAGAGAATCTTCGCCGTCGAAGACTTACGACAAAAAACATGTTGATCAGACAGAAATAAAAACCGTTACCACTTCTGATTTTGAAAAATCCAATAAAACTTTAGTCAGACCAAAATCCCCTTCAAAACCATCTGAGCCTTCTACGAGAGACACTATTTCCCCATCTAAAATTTTAATCAAAGAAAATAAATATAAACAGACTACTGATTTCATAGATGTTGAAAAAATCTCCGAAGAGACAAATAAAGTTAAAACAAATGTCGTAAAAGAGACAGTCACGAAGGGCCGACCGCGTCAACTGATAACTCCCTCCAGCAGTCCTACTAGAAAACCAAAATCTACTGAAGAAGAGCCATCAACTGGTCAGAGTTCACCCACTACTTCTGCTAGTGGGTTTGTGTATTTTAGCTCACCTCGTAGAGAAGAAGTTATTGTTACGGATCTTGACGATAGCATTACATATACGGAATCCACGGAAGTGCTTACAGATGATATCAACAAGAGGGTTGAGGTAACGAGACCCATTTCGCCTTCTAAAATACCTTGTAGATCTCCGTCTCCGCAGAAAATATCATCACCTAACAAAAGTAGTCTTCCTAGAAAAAGTTCGTTGAAAAAACCTCCGACTGAAAAGATTCAAACGTCTCCAACAGAACAACCGCCATCTAGTTTCCGAGTGTCCCCGACAACCGAAAAAAAGGATGTTCATGATCAGAGAATACAACAGGAAAAGGATCAATCACAAAAATCAGATCATACTCCAGTTAAGCCTAAACCGCCACTGGAGCGTCGTGAAACTTATGAAGAACGTTGTCGTAAGATACTTGGAATGATGGAAGACAAATCATCAAAGACCTCTACGCAAGAAACTATAACATCTACAGTTACGAAGACTTCGAATCTCACCTCTCCTAGTGTGTCTCCTTGTACCAGTCCAGAACCAGGCCACGATTCCTTAACTTTGGAATACAAAAATTATAATCAAACAAAGGAAGAAAATAATACTGTTCGGGACTTTTTGAGGAAAGAAAGAGAGGAGTCGACAAAAACTGTTCTTACAAACCAACCTTTAATCAAAGAAACACCGATAAACGGGAAGAAAACATTATCTAATGTTGAAGATGATAAGAACACCGACGATACATCAGGGGTAATTGATCAACAAGCTACGTCTCCCGGCGATATACCAACAACAAAGGCGAAGTCAAATTCTCCTGTATCGAGGGATTCATCCCCGACAAAGAAAAGTGAAATAGATACAACAATTAAAACTCAAATTAGAGATTCATCGCCTACTAAGAAAACGAACATCGACAAGCCTCAAAAATTACCTTCAAGAGATACGTCACCTGTCAAGAAAATAGGTGCAGACAAGCCACAAAAAATATCTGTTAGAGATTCATCGCCTACAAAGAAACTTGACGCTACCAAGGCGCAAGAAACGCCCACAAGCGAATCCTCGCCTAAGAAAACTGACACGGATACTCTACAGAAAACACTTGGAATGGATTCATCAATGGTCAAAACAACCATTATTGAAAAAACATTAGTACGTGACTCTTCACCTAAAAAGAAGCCTGAAACTGAAAAATTACCATTCAGGGACATGTCACCCACAAAGAAGAGTGAAACAAATAAATTACCAACAAGAGACTTTTCACCATCAAAGAAGCCTGAGTCAGATAAGTTACCAACAAGGGACTCGTCACCTACAAAGAAGTCTGCTTCGGATAAATTATCAACACGGGACTCTTCACCTACAAAGAAATCGGTCTCAGGTAAATCACAAAATACAACAATACCAGAATCTCATCCAACAAGGAAACATGAAAAAGACTTACCGCAAAAAGTGCCTTCCAGAGACACTTCGCCAACAAAATTACGTGACTTCATTTCACATGCAGAGCATCACGCTGTTACGCAGTCAGAGGATATATCAAAAGTTACTAATGTACAGAAAAAAATACACGAAGAAATTGTTAATAAACGTACATCACCGCATCAAAGTCCTGAAAGAAAACACAAAAACCCCGATGAAAGGTCCAGAACTAATTCAGAACATCCTAACACGCTTGCATCTAAGATACCTGAAAGAAAGCCGGGAACAGATCGTACTACTCAACATACTGCAGATTCGATTGTAAAACACGGTTTGAAAACTTCTTATAAGGCTGACACAAGTCCAGAATCAAAACCAGTGGTACAACGAACAGGACATAAATCTCCTGTTAATCAACCACAGGAGCAAGTTTCAAGTAAACACGGAAGACCGCACAGTCCGGAAAAAAAAGCAGCGCCAAAATCCAACATACAGAAAAAAGATACTAAACCAAATATTTCTGATAAATCCGGGAAAGTAACACATTCTGTTGAAAAGCCGGAAAATCAATTTTCGACTTATCCTAACGAAAGGCCGTCCGAGGATCCTTCAACAACTGACTATACTAGTCAATTTATATCGTCAGAAAGAGAACAAGAAGTTTTGGATCGAGTTCAAAAATCGTTGAGAAAATTATCACCGGATAGGAAAGAAAAAATTCCAAACCGTGAAAAAAGTCCAGAGAAGACGACCATTTGCTTACGGGACATTGATGTTGTAACAGATTATGTCGAGGAAAGTGATATACACGATGCAAATGAAATCACCGAAACTATACAAAAACGCGTAATATCTGTTAGACATGATAAAAGCCACACAGAGAAATCTAAACTTGATAAAACAAAAGAACAAAAAGTTTCCAGCAAACCTTCATCAAGAAATGTTTCACCTACTAAGAAAGTAACAAACGTGCACAGTCCTAGACCAGATACTCCTGAAAGTAAACCTAGAAGTACATCTCCTAAAAAACCTTTTACTTCAACGGAGAGACCCAAATCTCCACAAGTGCAAAAAATAGGCATTAAATCTAAAGAACATGTGCCTTCTCAGCTGATACGAAAACCTTCACCAACAAAACTCGATAAGAGTGTAACAAGTGAAATTAAAAAGTCAACGGGTGTAATAAAACAAAATAGTTTCAGCAAAACCTCATCTACGAAGGCGTCTACTAAAGTCAGTGTTGTTAATAAGACCTTTGATACGGAAATTAGAAAAACACCAACTTCAAAGATCCTCAATAAAGATGTGGGTCCTAAAAAAGAATCCGATGTGAAAGTTACCCGAACAAGCAGTGATGTAACATTTAAATCCAAAAAGCCATTATCGCCGCAAAAGGTTAAGTCTAAACCAGAAATACATGTCAACGATGTTTCAACATCAAAAATTAATAGATTATCAAGTGTTGCTAAGAACATTAAATCAATAACAAAAGAGTCACAATCTAAACTTCCAAGTAAACCCAAGTCCGCTACTTCTTTAAATACATCAGTTGACGAAGATGATGTCATTATTGACGTCCAGCAAGCTAAGTCTTCCAGAGAAAATTCACCAGATCGCATATGTCCTACTCCAGTCAATTTCTCAGAAGATGTAGGCATCCCTAGATTCCCCGATGAAGTTAATGAACCAGACGATGATTTGAACAAGAGAGCGTATCACACTATTCACGAAGCTGAGACAATTGTAGATGACATAGTTGAGATATGTGAAGATGATGAATTGTTTGTAAAAAGAAACGACCAAAGCAGTTTAACAGAATCGGATGAATGTTTGCTCACGGTTACTGATAAAGTATCTAGATTCACTAATAAAATTCAAACTGTTAACAAACCTAAAGAAAGTTCCCAGCGTTTCAAAGAAACCGAAAAAAGGATACATTCTGATGTTGTTGAAGAAAATCTTATTACTGACGAGTGTTTGCTTTCTGTTTCTGAAAAGGTAAATAAGTTTGCCAAGGGTCCAAGAAATACAAAGGACAGTAGAAGCCCATCCCGAAACATAAAAGATGAGTATGACAGGGAGACTGTTTACCAAGATAATTACACTAAACTTAGCGTTAATGATAAAGCTCATTTATTCGTTGAAACAGCTGAGAATATAAAGGTTTCCAAACCAAAAACAAGTCAAAAAGTACAACGTCCAGATTTAACCGACGTTGACGAATCTTTAAAAAGCGATGACTGTTTGCTTAGCGTTTCTGACAAAGTAAATAAGTTTGTTAAAACAGCTGAACAATTTTTATGCGAATCATATGAGGTAGAGGAAAAAGAAAAGAAAATTAAAGAAAAGCATGACAAAATTATGAGGAAAATTATAGAAAATGTCGATTACGAGTCAGATGACGATTATAAAGTTGACGAAACTCATGAAGAGATACGTAAAAAAGAATTAGAGGCTCGTGACGAGTCTATAAATAAATCGTTGGTCACTCAGGAAACGACTAAAGAAAGCTCCGTTCGGTCTAACAAGCCAACTGAAAAGGTTCCTCTAAAAATCACACCTGTACGCAGCAGCGAAGCCGTAAAAAAAGCAAAAGCTCTGTTTGAAAATATTGCAACAAACAAGCAAACAACTAAAGACGTTATTCACACGAAGGTAACTAAGCGACCGGACACTAAACAGTTTCCCAAAGCTAACCCACCTGTTTCCAAGCCCATAAAAGAAAAACCTCCGAAAGTAGATCACATTGATAACAAGGATGATGAAGTTACCTTTACATCTGATGTTGGAAGTCCACGAACTCTTCAGCAAACCGAACCTAAACCGATTGAAGAAACACAACGCCGAAGTCCTGTGCGAACACTGTCTCCAGATATTGTAAGGAACAAATCACCGGCGCAGCAAGGAGTTGAAACAAAAACAACTACAACTATCACTAAACAGACGACAACTTCCAGATCAGAGAGATCCGAATCACCTCAACAGAAGCGCGAACACGATGATAATGAAAAATTGCAGGACAAAATTCCTGGCTACTTGCGCCCAACAAAAACGAGCCAACTTAAAGAGGAACCAAAAGTAACAGAAGAACCAGAAGTTAGCAGTCGACGAGGAAGTGGAAAGTTTGGTGTTGAGCTGCGGCGGACGAGCATCGAGAGATCCACTGTGACCAGCGAGCTGCGTCGCAGCAGCGTCGAGCACCACCAGTCTTGCATTGAAGATATATATGACACTGACCTTCTAGAGCAAATGGTGAGTCAGATTGTAGAGTTTAAATAGTTAAATGATATCTTAATCGTCCTGGTTAGTTATTGAATATTATTTAGAAAGTGACGAATTAATAGTGTTGTATATTCTATCTCTATTATAAAGTTATTATTTTTCAGTTGGAAAAAGTCGTGGGATACGAACAGAGGCGTCGCATTCGAGCGCAAATCCGTATTGCTAAGAAAAATCAAGAAAACGATACTGTAAGCACAAGAATAACAAAGGAGACCGTAGCTACAGTCAAGAAAACGCCGTCACAGGAACGTCAACCGAGATCACACACTCCTGAGTACCATTCCAGATCTACTCCACAAAAGTCACCAGAGAGGGAATCTAAATCTTACTCCAGAATGCAATCTCCCGGAAAACAGCCCTCAGCTGAAAGAGAACCATCCCCGGAACTCAAATCAAAGCTCCAAAGAAACGTTCTCAAATCTCCTTCGCCTGAAAGACAATCCCCAATAAGGCAAGCCGAACATATTTCGCCTGAACCAACAAAACCTAAAGAACAAAGTCCAATACCCAATGGTCATGCTAAGATGCCCAATAATGTCACCGACATCAAGAGACCACAAAGTCCGTCGAAACTGTCTCAAAAGTCAAAACCCATTTCTAAAAGTCCGATGCGTCCTGGAAGTCCCGATAAAAAAGGCAGGCCTGGGTCCCCAACGAAAACGGCAACGCCGAAACCTAAATCCAATCGGTTCAGCGAGTACGCTACGGCATATATGAAGAAGATCGGTCTAAAATCAGAAGAAGCTAAGACTTCTTCGCCGAAACCTAAAAAAACACCTTTACAAGCTACAGTAACGGTCGTAAAGCAAGAGCAAACTGTTAAAAGACAAGAGCAACCTAACCTTGTACATGTCATAGATGAACAAGATACTGTAGAGACCAAACATTCCTCTACAATTATAACAAAGAACATAACAGAACGTGCATCGTCGAAAGATGTCATTGAGATTGTGCAACTGAATGGAAAGAGGTCCTCCTCGCCAGAGAAGAGTCCGAGTCCGGCTCGCAGACCTAAGAGTCCAGAAAAGTCCCGAAGCCGGAGCCCTGACTTGCAAAAGCCACACGTCGAGCCGGTGCAACGAGAACCACAAATAGATAAGAAAGTAGAAACCACTGGCAAAGTCGTAAATGATATCGACAAGAAGATTTCTTCCAAACCGCAACAGGAGGAGAAACCGTCCTGGGTGACAAACAGGAATCTCAAGAAAGTTAGTTCATCCGTTCGCACGTACAGTACCAAGAAAGCGGAGACTGAGAAGCCTAAGTATCGTTCCGCGAGCCCGTCCAAAGTGATCTCTAAGCCTATCGACGTGATCACATCCAGCTACGGGCCGGGGCCACTGGACGCGGACGGCAGACCGCTGTTTGGTATCAAGGCGCTCAGGAAAGGGGCCACAAACTATCAAGGTAATATCAAACAAAATGATTCACATCACTTCTTACATAAATATTTGTACAGGTTTAACAAGAAATCTATATTGCAAACATTCGGCTTTTATTCTTTTATTTGAATTTTTCGTAATTATTACATACTTAAACGAAAAAAAAAATTAAAAGACGCATAACTTTTAAATAGACTCCATTTAAGTGTCTCTTTCATACTTACAAGTTGTAAACAAAAACAAGTATTGTTTTAACGAAATAAAAGAAACGAATACGAAGTGACAGGTTTCGTACTGGTTATGTGAATAAGATTAAATATATAAACATTCATATATAAGTATAAAATGTCACCGCAGTTCAGTTACAAGATCACTTTCAAGGTGAACAGTCGTCAAACATTGTACTCGATAAATATGCCTTACATAAATATTGAATATTTTATTAAATACAGTGTAGTTGAATTCAAGACGTAAAATGATTTATTATGTTTACAGTAAAAGGTACCGTAATCCGACAAGAGTATCATTCCAAAAACGGCGGCGAGCCGGTAGGCACAGTCTCCGTCACCGCGTACTCCACCGAACCCGAAGACCTGGAGAAGCTGCTGCACCAGCAGGGGGAGCGGCCCTCCAAGATACACGGCCTCGCCGCCATCACCACTACCAAGAAGTTTGGCGGCGACAGCGGCACCACTTACAACGAGATTCATACTGTAAGCGCCTTCACTAATTTATTAGCAAAGTCGCACAGCAAAAATAAAACATAACTTATTTTAAGTTGAAACCGTGGTATGCAAATTCGTTTTTCAAAAATTTGACTCTACCATTATAAAAAACAAATGTAATTAGCGCCTATAAATAAACAAAATCATGAAGTTGAATAAGGAAACCAATTAAATTCTTACATACTCACTTTTTATAGCATTTTACAATATTTTAGATAAATGTCTTAAAATGGTACTAAGCAATTATTGTTCTAATTAAATAAACAATTTATTAAGCCTTTATAAGATTTTATTAATAAAATTCAGCATTTCAACCATCACCGTACTACAGTTTACGATATCGAATTCAACATAACAATGATAATATTGAGTTCATTATATTTTTTGTTCAGCGCCGTGACAAATTGTCGTTTTGTTTGACAGAAGGAGGATCGCGCCGCGCTCGAACAGTTCACACACAGCGACAGGCGCGTCAGCCAGACCGCCAGCCAGACCGCCAGCGACCGCTCCTCTGAGACACGGTACATAGAGGATGTCAACGAAAGGAAGCACAGCGTCACCGACAAAGAAGATAAATATACAACAGAGCGCCACGTGCGCAACGTGACACGACAGGACACAGACAACGAATGCAACGTAGAACTAACTAGATTGGAAGAAACAGACAGCACACAAAAGTATAATCAAAAAGAATACTCAGAAACATACGTAATGGAGAGTAAAAGAGAGGATAATCGTAGGCAAAAGGAAACCGCAGACGATGGGTACTCTATCGAAATAACGAGAGAAGAAAGAGTTGGAAGTCGACGAACTAGTCACGGCGACAAGACAGATGGAAGATTGCGGGAGGAGAGAGTGGATAGAATTGAAAACATGCAAAGAGTGGAACCGCGAGGCAAAGACACTGGCAGGAGTGAGAGACGAGTCGAAAATAAGAAGACTGTCCTTCGCCAGGGATCCGTCAAGTCTCTTACGGAGAAATTCATTAAGAATGCAAGTAAGTATACTTTTGTTTGTAATTTTTATAAACACAATGTCCCGTTAGAAAGTGAAATTAATTTACAATGTTGTAATATTGCTAATAGATATTATAAATATTTGATCAGTTAAAACAGTTATTAATACTTTAAATAATATATTCCTGACTGAACCTTTATTGAGGCAAATGTAAAAGTATAGTAGTCGTGGAGGTGGAGGTGGAGGGGAGGGGGCTAGGTGTGACGTCACGTGACTACAGACTCTCTAAAGGCCTGCAATTTACTTATGTAATGAGTTCACTTTCGAACGTGTCGCAGTTCGCCCCAGCAGCGCTCAGCGCTCAGTGGTCAGTGCTCAGTGCTCACTTGCTGCCTGTGATACGCTGCGCACCGGCAACATAAACGTGTTCAAAATAAAGAGATATAACAATAAAAAACGCGTAATTTGATACTGAGTTTTAAACATCGTATTAAAAGGCTTTCGGAAAGAAATTGTTTTTATACGAAACGGTAATAAACATTATGTTTTTGACTGCATCGTAATTTATTAAGATTGGAAGCAGTTCTTTGCTTAGATAATAAACCAAAATACTATTGCACTTACTTTTCAAGTGTTTACAAAAAGTGAGCAATCAAGAGATAGTGAATAAGCTTACAAAGCGTTGGCTGAGTCATCGGAACTTTGCAATAAAAAAAAACAGCTACAAGAGTACAGTTACATTTAATTTGTTTATTTTTATAAAGTGATTTATTAAATATCAATAGATCAAGTTAAAATTTATTGAAAGTTGCGTAAGTTAATAGCTTTTTTGTGTATTATCACAGGTGAGAGTAGCAAAAACGAGCGGGCGTCGTACCCCAAGGCGGGACTCATCTTGCGCAGCACTAGTATCAAGGACAGTGGCTCCAACGATACAACGCACGCCGGTGAGTCCAACATTATAATCAACATTATTTACACTGAATTTCTGAGACCAAAATCTCTGTTTAAAACATATTGTTTTCTCTGTTTTCTCAAACATCATGACAGGAATGACGATTTGTTTCGTACATAGATTTTAGTCTCCAAAACCAACGGTTAGTCAGACAGTAATCTTATTTTGTTGCACCATTCACATTTGATCAGTACTTAAATGTTTCCTGCCATTGAAACTTTATTTGTAAGGAAAAGTATCGTATTTTGCACGCCACTTCCTCAGTCGTATGTTGACCTTTTGTAAACACAAAATGACATACAAAAGTCACACAATAAATTTGATTACAGTTATTTAACCGTGGGATAGTAACCGCGGCAACTTTACAAAAAGATTTGTGTTTTTACAAACAGCGTATTGTGTGCGATCATTTTGTACAATTGTTTATTAAAGCTAAAAAACAAGACCCAACACTATTGACACTCATGCTGGCACGTCTCCTTACATTTACACACATTGTAACTGAATATCGCATTTATTAAAACCACTGCCGGACTATTGTTGACTTGCCGGACTGTCCGCATATTTGTTGTAAGACATTAAGATCATTGACCTTTTAAAGACTATTCAATAAATTAGGAAATATATACTCATTCTTCTACGTAGCTGTCTTAAAAGATTCTCTTTTTTCTCCATCATCGATGAGTCTACTATATTGTTGTGTTATGATTGCATCAGAACTGCACCGCACGGATAGCGAGCAGAGCTTGGGTTCTGCAGAAGAGAACGTGGTGACCACCACAAGCAGCAGCCGGCAGGAGAGCGGCGACGGTATGACCACCACCACCACCACGACGACGCGCAGCCGCGCGCGTCACGAGCGCTCCTTCCTCGACAGTGACACTAAAGTCACCGGAGTGCAAGACATTCTCACCAGGATGAAGAATGCTGACATAGGTAAGCGATCTAATCAATAATGATTACTTCCATTGAACAGTTTCAGTTTGAGTAGACGAATGTATCTGTGTGTGCAGTGGTGGAGGACACCGACTGCGGCGAGGACGCGGAGGCGCGCGCGCTGCTCAACAAGTTTCTGGGCGCCAGCGTGCTGATGGCCGGCATGCAAGGCTACGTCACCGAGAGCGCCGGGGGCAAGGTCATCGTCAAACAGGTCAGTTACAGTGCCGTGCAAACTTTACAGCGGCTCGTAATGTCTTAAGACAACTTAATTACGACACTACCGAATTTTAAATGTCTTTATTTCATAGTTTTTAAGGAAACCTTAAGCTTTAATTAATGATATAAAAAATACAATTTAAAACAAATAATGACGGCGCAGTCGCAAGCACAGACTCTGTCCAAACTAAGATTGTAGCGCATTAGTTCATAATACAAACAGAAGCTTGGCCGCAGACCAACTACACAGACCAAATGTTACAGCGTTTATAAAGCATTTGCTATTTTAAATTTTACTAATTAAACCTTCACTGAAATGTAGAAAATAATAAATCAAGTAATATACATTCGCCGCCGTTATTGTAAGACATACGAACGTACAAACAAGGGAATAAACAAATTAGTGGTGTGATAACAACGCGACGTTGTGTGGTGGTAGTACACATAGTGTTACAACATTAAATATGCTACATTTTCCTCTAATATAAAAACCAGTTAACTATAAAATAATATTTTTATTGTATATTGATTAATCAAGAAGATAGTAATCTTTGTAAATCAATCAAGTTGGCTATCAGTACTTGTATGAGATCCGCGCGCACTGATTCATCTCTGTAATTATGTAGCGTCATAAGGAAGTGATGCGCCAGCCAAGTTCAATGCGCGCGCGCAGTCACCGCTACCCCGCACCGCACCGCACCGCACTCTCCCTATCATGTCACAACACTATGATTTATTATCATGTTACAAACAACGTATTAACAATTAATATATGTTTTGCATATTTAATATGTTTCTAGAAAGGAAAAGAGTGACGCAATAGTAATATTTTGAGTAATACATATTAATGTAGTAAGTAAGCCCTATTCTGGTTATCATGCAATGATTATGTTAAATGAGACTTCACACGTTCATTTACTTTCAACGTAACTTGTAACAGGTATTTATAACTTTTGTGGATTTTGAACACATGTTGGGATTTCAATAAAATGTTTATAAATAATGGCGTAATATAAATGCGTATCGATGATCGGAGAGGAATCCAATAGTAAACAAAAGCGCGCGCTGGATGCGCCCGCGCCGCGCCGTTTAAAGACACGCGCGGGAAACGCGAAAAGCGCGCCAAAAATAACACCGCGCCGACATTTCACCGACCCTGCTCCTATGTAACGACGTATGTCGACACACTATTCCTAGCAATTTAGACTTTATAAACCACTAAATAAAAGGATCTGTTCGAAAATTGCTTTAAACGAATTTGTGTACTATATTTGTAGCGGTGACGTCATTAACGGCCGCTCGCGCAGTCCGTTCCATACACCCGTGCAGATCGGTCCATGTCAAAATTGACACGCCATTACAACTTAGTAAAAAAATTATAATTTATGGTCTAAAAAAGTGACCGGAACCAACTGTCGGCAATCAAAATTAATTTCCCTAATTACAATTAGTGCTTCGTAAACTTTTAGGATTGCGTATTTTAAATCGAGCTTTGTTAGGTAAGTGCTTTTATAATTTCCCTTCCTTCATCTCTCTTCAATAAATTAATTTGCTAAACTTTTACGAACACGAGTTATGAAGCTTTCATAACGTTCACTTCTTGAATTGACTTATTAAAGTACATTTTTATCTTCAATTATATGTAGTATGTATATACATTAAAAAAAAATCATTGCTTTTATTAACAAATTTGTGTTATATTTACGATTTTTTGCGAACCTTAACCTTAAGTTGAAAGATTAACAAGTTTTATGTCAGGCTTTCAGTGCTTTTGTGCAAAAGTTCGCTCGCCGCCGTCGCAACCGCTGCCAGGAACAGAATTACTTTATACGTTTCTTAAATATCACTTTGGTGTTCTTTTTATCTTATTGCTATATTTACAAAATTTTGAGTTTATGTTGCAATTAAAAACTTTTATACAATTTAAAAGATACAAGTACAATTATGTTTTGAAGTTAGCCGAAAACACATTTTCCTAAAACAACGATTGGGATGGGACTACATAAGATATACAGACGCAATTACGTTTAGTTTTTGAGTTTATACTTTGGCTGTATAAGAAAACGAAATTATATCTTTGTAATTTTTAGACCATTTATGCTTTCATTTATTGTATTGTTTTGGATTCGTGTCGTGTTCCTCATCTCGTTACTTAATCGTGACTTTTTTCCGAACCGACGACATAATTATAACCGAAAGCCAACCGGAACCTAAGGACCAAATTCGAACTTGGCACGAATTTTGTTTATTCTACCTTATCATTTAGCAACTAGACTTATAACACAAAATCAAAACTTGCGCGCGAATATAACGCGACTTTCATTTTGCGTTTCATTTTTGCCTCGATCTGTCTTGAGATTCGCTTTCGCGGTTGTGTGGTGCAGGCCTAGAGGAGTGCGGTGAGGTCGTATGTCGGCGTCAGACAATGCGGCTGCAAGGCGATACGCTGCATATCAGTTGCAGCACGTGGCTTAGTGTTTGCTTACAGACTTCGACGGCGGCGACGCAACGTCTCGTTTGCGGCTTCTCACCTCATCCTATTGCAAAAAAACACTGTTATAATTGTAATATATTGAGTTACATTATCTTTTGATAATGCACTTATGTTTTACATTTACATTATACTCAAAACAAACATGTTTTTTTGTTTTTTATATCAGAAGGTGGCAAACGAGCGAGCGGCCATCTGAAATCGCTGAATAGCGAAGTGACCTTTGCCCATAGACATGCGCAATTGCACATGTGTTGCCTGCCTTTAATCGACGGAGGAGAGGATGCACAGAAAGAAAATATTTTCCCCTTCCATGCATCCTCTCATCCGAAAAGTTCACTTCCACTTCCCATCCTTTCCTTATGAGAAGAAGGGTGGGAAGGGAAAGAGAACTAAATTAGGCCTCCGGGACGCACACTCATCAGACGAAACGCGGGATTGCTTCCGCTTCACGCCTGTCTTCTGTGTGGTCGTGGTATTTCACCGGGCGAGCCGGGCCGATTTGTGCGAATATGTTAAAGCGAGCTCTACCACTGTTAAACATTTATTACAATATTGTATTGATTACAATATTGTATCATACCGACTGTGAAACGTTAATTTTTTAACCTGCCCGCCATACAATTTATTATATATCTTCAATCTTCAATCATCACACTGATTTTACAGGAAACATGCGCATGTTTCCGTATTTATCTCCCGGAAAAAGATCGCTTCGCGTAACATCTTGTAAAACGTCAAAACATTTTACAAGATACGTTTTAAAATCGTTTTCATTTCACAATTTTTCTATAAATTTGCCGACATCACAAGGTTCATTAAATAAATTAATAGCAAAGTATACAAAGTTCTGTGGAGGTTTGGTTCAGTTTATTTGCACTAAATGATGTACGCACGAGCTATCAAGGCCTGTCTAATTTTAGTTGTGCAAAGTCTGGTGTAGTTCGCATTCATAATATAAAACTGTAGGCACTTCCGCGTTGTTGGCTTCCAATGCACCGAATTATAATTAGTATAGTAGCTATCGCCCGCGACTTCTGCTTGGAGAACAGATTTTCAAATACCTTAACTAGATCAATTTTCAAATAATTCTGTTAAAGGAAAAACAGTTCTCTATATAAACTTTAATCCCCCAAATTTCAGACCTGTCCATTCACAGCTTTTGAAAAAAAAATTATGTTAGTGAAAGTCCACGGCTATAGTATCACCTTATTTTGCAGAACTCTAGAAAACCGATATCTCAACAAGACACAATTGTGATTATTCTTTGTGTAATCATTGTATTGACGATGGCTGTCATTGCAAAGTTACATTAAGTTGAGATGTTGGTAAAGTCGTCAGCGGGTAAATAAATAAATAAAAGCGTAGCGGATATGTTTGTCGTGATTAGTATATCACATGATCCCTGTCTTCTACATTTATACAGAAACAAGCTACGAGTACATTGTCCAATTTCACTTCAAGTTAAGTACATACTTCGTTATCTGCCTGTCCTTCTCCCATACCAGATCTACCTTCCGTCTTCTTTATAATGTCTCAGTCACAATTTCATGAAAATGTGTCCAGTGCATAATGAAACGATAGGGGCAAAAACAGATTGTTTAAAACACAATTTGTACAAATAATTAAATAAAACATAAAGAGCAATGTCGTATTAACATTCTTTGATGTCCGCCGTCGCTCAACATGAGAACTAGAGCTTTGTACACCAATTGAGACAGCAGAAGCGATGGCAGGGCATTCACTCCGCGCCCAATATACCGCATTACGCCAAATATAACCAACGCCCAATGTACGCAATTGTTTGCCTGCGTTTGCGCTGCGCCTGCGCACCTATCGCTACTTAAGCAATAATTACCTACACCTGGAACACTCTAAAACATTGCCAGGAAACACAGTTAAATCGTAATCAAATACACAACTGTTTTAGTTGTCATTAGATTTTCGAGAAGCGAGCGTTCTTGATGTCTTTGTCTTTTTAATTTGCACTCAACGTAAACTGTATACGTTGTGCCCACCCCTTTGTACCATTACCACAAATATCTTAAGATGACGACCTAGTAATTAGTCCGGCCTCACTTCCGTGATCCCAGCACCTGTCCTACATACGATAACCCGGACACTAAGTAACTAAATTTTGGGTCAGGATTATGAAATTATCAGAATTCTATTTCTCCATATTTCAACTGCTGTTTTATTGAAAAAAAACTCTTAAACTTGGATCATTGTATCATATCTAAAACAATATTTATTTCAAATTGTCGATTTTAAGATGTCACGTTTTGACTTGTATTCTCTTCCTTTTTTTCGTTAGTCTAAGATATGTGATATATGTGCCATTAAACTGTACCTAATTCCGCAATATCAGAATGGTATGGGTACGCGAGTTTGACGACGGGTATAGTGCCATACAAACTTTATATAGGCTCGCAATAGGCATCAGTAGAACGTAAAAGAAGCCGGCATAAAGTTTGAATATTGCAGTAGTTGTATTGGTGTGTTGCCAGCTCTGGCCGTCGAACTCTCTCAGTGCGCTCTCCTCGCCTCTTTTGGTGTTGCGACACCTCACCTTGATCCATTTTTTACTCACTTCTGCGTGTACGAGAAATCTAAAAGTCATCGTTATTCAGCATCTTCGAATTTCAATAATGCAGTCCAATTATTCGAAAAAAATATTTAAATAGTCCTTAACCAGAGTAGACAAGATGATGTATTTTTATTAAGTAGGTATATTTTAGTAATATGACACTTTAGAACAGTTTTGGATCACCACAATATGTTATTGCGCAGATAATTTATCACGTGTTGTTATGTTTACAACTTGGTGCTTACTACGTAGTTCTCCCTCCTCCTGGCTCCACGTGACGTCCAGCGTGACGCATCTTCCGCGTGCCACCATGCAACTGATATTATGTACTACAAATACTATTGGCTTAACTTGCAATTTAAACAAATTCAATCTCTTTATGTATCGAAGATTAACAGGAACTAATGAATGACTAATGTTCTTGTTTACTTTACCAACATCAAAGTCTTGGTGAAGCGCTGGTTAGTTCATTAACAACAACATTGTAACTACTGACATTGCAGCCATTGTGATATAATATATTAAAACAGATAACTAGAATACACTGTCACTTGTCCCGAGATTGTATGTATACTACACTCATCAAACTTACGACCGCAATATTACCATTATAAGTTGCGGTGAGGGCCATTACGCTGTGCGCCAGCTTTCCCGCCTTTACGCTTTATAGTTGCAATAAACGTTGTTTTTATTCTGACGATATAACATTTCTCATGTTCTTATAATATATTATTTTCTAACTTCATGTCATTGCTGATACGCGACATTATTGAATATTACAAAATGTATCTTCTTTCTAAAATTTTATTTATTATCAAATCACTATAGTACACCCCGCGCTAGTTGTGTAGCGAAGCGATGCTATTGGAGACGTTTCACCATACCGGCACTTCAATATTGTCGCATTTTAAACTATTGTCATACTTTCACTATGTACAATTTAGCTTAAATACTTTTACCAAATGCGAATATTATCAATGTTTCAATGTTTCCATTTAGCAAGTTAAATTTAAAAACATTTATTCAAAGGTATAATCCTCCAGTTGAGTTGTTATAAAATTAATAAATGTATGAATGTGACATGACCTTCAAAACATACATTTTTAAACCGCACTGAAAATCTGGCGTCCATCCAAACTTTTTAACCACTAGACACGAGAACTCATCTCTCGAAACATAACACTGTGATGAGTTAAAATTCTTTCATCTACGTCCTTAGTAATATTGTATTAAAAGCTTATTTTATATATCATCATGTAATGTAACAAAATGTACACAGTAATTGTACAAATTAACAAAAAAAGAAAGTTTATTGCAACAACGGGAGCCACTGTTACAATCCGCTTACAGTTGTGCGACCTCATTCGAGATAAACTCCTTTGATATAGCTGTCAACATTTTATTATCAAACTACATTTTAACGTTAATCGCGAAAACATGTTTCAAGAAACAACTTCTGAATATAAATGAATGCGTACAGATAACGTACGTACAATATAATGTTACAAAAAATATTATTTTCTCTTACTGTTTTATTGGCTCATTAATTTTTACAGATCAAAGCTGTTATCATGTTATCGCACCTAACCTTTAGAATCAGAAAATCAATTTAATGTTTATTACCGTAAGTGCAAATGTAGGACGAAATATATCTGAATATTAAGATTGAGATAATTCTGAATAAAAATATGGTTAAAATAAAATAACCTGTAAAATAAATAAAACTGGTGATGTTCGATATAGTTTTACATTAAATTATTCTTTGTTGGTAAACTCTTCAAATTCTTTGTATGTATTTCGTCGTAAAATTTTCAATTGAGTGTGTGACGTAAATTTGCGCGGGATAAAACACATTGTTATATTTTTAAACCTGTGGTAGCCGGTCGGCGGCGGTCGGGCGGCGGTCGGCGGCAGTCGGTGGTCGCCCAGTGACCTGCCAACAATCTGGCCCACTGATCTTCTACTATACCAAGAATCGCATCGCCTATATTTAGTTCATTTCCGCTCAATACTGGGTTACTATCACGAACTGTTTTTCCTCATTAAGCAGATTACGAAAGATCTTTTTTAGTTTGTGCTATTTCCAAATAAGATACTATCAACTTCTACTAAATATACCTGAAAGTAAATTTTAAATTCTCTAGTCATTGTAACTGTTACCGTCATTGTATTCATACAGTCAAAGAATTAAATTCGCTTCCCATTTACGGTCGAACATCGTGAAAGAAAAAGCCACCATAACACATACTAGTTTGAAGCAAGTTTTCAGTCTTTTGATCGTCGTTAAATGTCGCCTTTGTGGGTAGGGAATAAACGTCCTCAACTGTACATGCGTTAAAATGTTGCCAGTGCACCGGCTTTGGACATGCACAAGGAAGTTTGGCAAGACAACTACTCCGAATATAGCATAAACTATATTTAAGACGCATCTCTATTTTTAGCTGCAAAAAATATTGTTCGAAGACATGAATAGGCATGTTTTCTTGTTTATACTTTTAGACTTGTATTTTTATTTGTTTGCTGCTCTCGAAATGGCAACGGATTGTCAACAAATAATTTTATGTAGGTACAGTATTACGATTTTTTAAGCGCGCGATGGCTTAATTAATTGTTCAAACGAACATATTTACAAGTTAAATGCGCAGACAACAGGGCATACGCTGATTTACTGTACCCAAAGAGTTAGACTTATGCCCTAGGATATGTTGTTTAGATCTTTGTTCTTTATGATGCTCAAGTGTACGTACGTATATGTACGTAGCATTTGTGTGTAGAATCTTCTTAATGTATCAGAAACAATTGTGCCTAAAGGTCGAGGAGTGCGGAATGCGCCGCTACTAAATTGGCCTCGCGCCCTTCTCCGCGAAATGCAACAAAACTATCGAAAAACATCGTTAAGCGATGACTTATGTTTCATGACATGTCAGGGAAACGTATCTCACCTCACGGTACACACAAACACAGACATAAGCACGCACAAAAAGGTTCCAAGTATCGAAACACTATTTAGTTGAAAAGAGTGTCTAAGTGCGGCGGTTAGTATATTAACGTTAGATCGCTTGAAAATAAGAAAAAGTAAACTAAATTTTGTGATGACGTCAAAAGATGATTTGTAAATTACAAGAAAACAAAAATATACATCAATCGGATATGTTTGCAACGATCTATATTTGAGCAATAAAGAGTTAAAACGATAGTACAAATGGATTAAATTGCTCTTCATGTCGAAACTCAATAGTTTACGAGCACACGAGTTTTGGTACGCTTACGAGCAAAGCAGGGAGAAACACTCATCACTCAGCTCAGTGGTAATGCAGCCACCAGTAAAGCAACGATGTTTGTTTTATTATACATTTCCAACATGATATTTAATATGACAAGGAAGGGTTAAGGCGTTAGTGTCTGGAATATCCCATGATCTAGTGTATGATTGTATCACGATCACTGTTTGTCAAAGTGCTCGCAAAGTTAATTTCTATTGCTTTCTAAGAACACTTTGCTTTAAATGCAAAGAGTCGGCATGAACTTGCATTTAGTCTAGACCAATGTCGACCGCAACTGTTCTTTACTGCATTTCTTCTGCTAATGTTTTAAATAAATTATTTTATTTTGAAATAGGATATGGGTCAGTTTTTTCAGTGATCCGTGTTATTTAATGGCGGCACGCAAGGTCGCTGCGCTCGTTAGCGGCTAATAAGATGTCGTCGCGTCCTCCACTAAATAAGTAGAAAAACAAAAATAGAATAACAAATAATGAACCCTGAAGTAATGATGTAGTTTTGTGTTGTTGCAGGAGACAGTGCAGCGGTGCGGCGAGGGCGAGGTGACCAGCAGGAGCAGCACGCTCCATCACGTTGACCTCGACCAGTGCTGGGACGAGCGCGAGCTGCGCCAGCTTGTGAGTTACAACACACGTGGCAAAGTCAATCAATTATAGCTATATCAGCTAGCCGGGCCGGCAGCGCCGCGGGCTGCTCACTGGACGTTGACCAAGGGGTGCAATGTAGGTCGCCGTTAGTTCCGCTCGCTCGCTGACTACTTCCGTTGTTATTCTTCTATTTGCACAAACATTACAACACTAGTGTTCATGTTAAGCAGATCTATCGCGTATTAAAATACAACTGTTCGTCGGACTCGGGCTACTTCAATTGTAACGAAAACCCCTTCTACCACTCGAAAATAAATACGACGAGCACCAAATTTTACCCTTAATTAGAGAGTAAATGAGATTGTTGTGTGCTTTTCTCTTAGTCATTTTAATTAATAAAAAATAAGCAATTTAGTTTAACGCCGCGTTTCGTTGCAGCTGGAAGAGTGCAGCGACTACGAGCAGCGACGTCGTCTGCGCGCGCGCATCCGCACACTCATGGCCGAGCAGGAAGGTTTGCCTTAAATTTATTGACGAACTTTTATTCATAGATTTTTTTTTAGCCGAGTTAGCATGTACTTGTAAGACATATTATTATCCAGAAGTAAATGTATTACAGCATGCACGAGCGCAGTGACGGAGGCGCTGGCGGCCGCAGGCGAGGGAGATATCGCTGGCGAGGCAGACGGCGAGTCCCGCGGTGAGTGCCTCCTGTTGCCGCTCCTACAGGGCCTGCTGGCCAAGGACGGTGCGCCGCCGCTGCCCGGCGCCACGGCCGCAGTGGTAGCCGACGTGCGCCGCGCGCTGGCCAGGCTGCGCGCCGCACTAGCGCCGCCCACCAAGCACCCGCACGCTCAGGCTCTCCTCAACCTGGCCGAGCGGCTGGAGGATGCCTTGGACGCCGATCGCCTCGACGGGTGTCGCCGCCTGCGCAGGCGCAACCGCGCCGCTAGACACACCGTGGCCGTCACTCACAGTGACCTCGAGGAGGCGCGCCGACTCATCGACAGTTCCACATCCCCCCCTCTCCAGTCCGCGCAGCAGGCGGCCCCTCCGCCAGTGGAGCCGAAAGACACTATCGAAAAGCGCGCCCAGCCGCCTCGTAAACCAGATTTCTTTAGGCACTCCATAGCGAACGCCGCGCCCGACCCGATACCGCGCTGGCAGGAATCCAGGAGTATAGCCGCTATTGCGAATAAATTCGACGCTAAAGTCGATAACGAACCCGCCAGGCGTGTCCCAGTCCATTGCTCGCCTGCGGCACAAAAGTCTCCGGGAGAAATAAACCGCGCTCCTTTGTACCGCCCCCTTCCTCCCACGTATAACTTTGCGGCCGTTCCCTCCGAGGACGTTTCCAAACCGTTAAATAGATTCAACAATAATAGTAAGCGCGCTCGAATGAAACGAGCCAATACTATAGATATCGGTAAGCCCCTGGGCGGTTATAAGATCGACGACGACGAGGGCGACCGCGCTCCCGCCGTGCCGGAGTTCCGTCCTAAGACGGACAACGATCGGAAGTTCCTAGCGTTTATGCAAAAAAACCGAGGGATGGATTCGACGGGCCCCGCAAACTGGAGCAGCCGCTTCGGTAATATCAAAAATGCCTTCGAGAGCCGCGAGCGTGCCGAGCACGTCGAGCCCGCGCGCTCGATAAGTGCCAGTGCCCGCAGAATCAACGCCGGTGACCACAACGCACGTCCGAAAAATTTCCTCTCCGATGTCACATCCGATATCAACAGACCTCCGTGGGCTCAGCGTAGAGAATCTATCCGCGCCCCTCCCCAACTCTCCCATCCTCCGCCCTCGATTCAAACCCCACCGAGTCCACCCAGCGTCATAAGGCCTTTCATTGCAAAACCTATCCCTGTAAATCAATTCTCCCACGCCCCGATGTCGGCTTTCAAACCTCTCAAGAAAATAACCTCGCCCACTTCAGCGCCTCCAAATGTTTGGAGTCCTCCGTCCAGTATAGATAAATCCCCAACGTCGGATAACGTAGCCCAGTTCGCCTACACTCCGAAATCCTTTGTCACCAGTCCCCCAGCCCCTCGAATTCCTTGGGCTGCGGATAATGAGAAGCCCAGAAAGACTGTCGGGCTTGTCGCTTCTAAATTTGAGAACGACAAGTTGGAGTCGCACGTTCCTCCCCCTAAATTATACAGTTATCATCCCCCCACGCCACCGACTCACGTCACCTCCCCCCAGTCGCAGAGCTACCCCATCAAAGCGATTCCCAGCCAGAATGATCTGTCCGCGCCGGAACTCGTAAAGAAAATACATGAAACGAATACGCCGCGGGAGCCTTTTCCTCGGCCAGTGGACGCACAGAAACTTCAAATAGAATTTTACGAAAGACAAATTCGGGAGAAAAACCGCCGGGGATCGACCACAAACGGATATCGGGAGCCCGAAATAAAACCTCCCGCTCCACCCACATACACTATAGTGGACTACACCCCGCACAACGTCTCCGCTTCTTTCGTTCCTCTGCAACAAACGCCGGACATAGAAAAGGCTAAAGCGCACAAAGTCGACTACTTGCCGGACGTGGTGATGAACGAAAATAACGTCGATTTCGCGACGCCGACCCGGCCCGTCTCCAGCTCCGCAAAGCCTTCGCCTTACAAGAACGGAGAAGTTGGTGACTTGCAGGAGGGCACCACGGAGCACGGTAGCGTCGAGACAAAAGTGATGCGCGGTCCGGTGCGCGGCTCCGCGACCATCACCTTGGGCGTCAGGACGCGAGCCGCCGACGGGCTCCGCGCTGCGCTGGACCGCTTAGCGCCGCCCACCGTTCCTCCCACTCATAGAAACCACAGCGGCGAGAACAAGTCGCCATCGAGAATCTCGAGTCGAAGCTACAACGACGGAAGCTCCCCCAACTTGTCCGGTTTCGGGCGGCCCGTCGCTTCGCGTAGTCAAGGACACCTCGCGTCCGATTGTGAAAGCATTCCCTCCAACCGGTCTGCGTCGAGCGGCTCCTCGAGCCCGTTGGCGCGCTGTGGCTCGTGGCACCGGCTCTCCTCGCCGCAGCCCTCCCCGCGCCGGGTGACAACTCGCACGAAATCCATGCACCTGCTCGCCGCGCCCAAGCTGTACGAGGGCGGGATCGCTCGCGAACAACTCCCAGACAAGCGGCGCACGGTGGAGGCTTACTTTGCGGGGCGTACGGAGTCTTCGCGCGCGGCTAACGGTCCAGGAAGCATGTTCGCGCTGGGCCGCAGCCGTACGATGGGCACGCTCGCCGAGCTGCAGCTGCTGGACGAGAGCAACGCGGACGACGCGTTCGAGGACCTCGTGTCGGCGCTTGCTTAGCGCTACATTCCACTGGGTAGGCGCGAGACGTGAGTCGTGTGTGTGTGGCGCTCGTCCGCTTGTGTCGCGTCGCATGACCCCGCGCCCCCCCCCCCCGCACTTCAACCGCCCCCCCACGACACTCGATGTATATAAACATGTCAGCTAAACCTCCGATCATTGAATGTAATCGACACGGATCTTGGGCTTTTAGTGACGCTGGTGGGGGCCACATCCTTCGCATTTCTGCATCTGTGTGAATCACTGTTGTCACCTTAACCATTGTAATAATATATCTATATAATTCCCCCATCGTCCTGTACACGACGCCTGTACGCGACGCGACGCGAGGCGACGTGACTTCAGACACTGTCACAGTCGACTCGTGTGCAGTTTGCCGTAAAGCCCAAGACTTGTGTTCAGTACTATACGTGCCCCGTAACTGTGTTATTTTGACTAATAGCTTTAAGTATTACGACTCGTTTGCTGTTATGTTTTACATTGTCTTATATTTTGTCTTTACAATGTTACCTTTAAAATGAAGGTGAGTTAAATCTTTTGCGAATTGTTTACAGAGGAGGAGGAGGTAACCACGGTGACATCCAGCGTGAGGAGGAACTCCACAGAGAAGACCGTTAGCACCAGCACCACCATCAAAAATTCCAAAGGTTTTTCTTTTATACTTCCTCCGTCTCGTTTCTCAACATCGTCTCGTAAGACAATTACCTCAAGCACGGTGATCGTACCGAATGGTGACTTAAAGTATGGACTCATGTAACCACCTTCACTTTTCCCTTGCGTAGTGATCGAGAGCATGACGCGCGCGGCGCCCAAGCCCGTCTCGCCGTTCGCCAAGTTCCGGCAGCTCGAGAAACAAAACACCATCAATTCCCCCAAGTGAGTGACACTCGAACATACATACATACACAGACACACATACACGTGTACATATTACGTTCAGAGTATGTATACATACAGACAAGGACTTACGACGTTTAAACCTTCCTGATATATCAATATTTTATTATTATTTTAATAAATATATCCAATATCCATACATTAATATAGACTGTCTATGTAAAATTAAATCGATCGTTTCTCGCTTCATATATTATTTTAATGCAAATATTTATTTATTTTGGCAGCCGTGACTGTGGATACGAATAAGTGAAACAAGTAAATATTAATATTATACAACATTCATAACATTTTATTAGTTGATTCATTATAAAAAAGAAGTAGCGGACGTTCGCTTACACCGAGTATGTCAGTATGTGTACCTCACGCGCTCGCCTCATACACGTACATTACACGTCATCCGCGTAGCCTTGTAGCCGCTCAATGCTCAATGCTCAATGCTCAATGCTCATCCATCCGGCGGCAAGCAAACTTCAACAGATACAGCTCACTTGTCATGTTCAATCTTGGTTTCAATTCATTCGAGCACCTCATTATTTTGTGTAAATAACCCGCGACCAGGCACGGCGCGCACCTACAATTGACAACGCACCGCCTAACCGATGCCAGGAGTTGGCGACTCCTCGACAACTCTCCGTTCTTTACGACAGATAGACTTCCCAAACCACTTTACAATCTCGACATCTGTGGTATTAACTTTGACTACTGACTTGATACTTCTGCTTCATTACAGGAAAATGTATGGATAAAAACGTGTGCCCTACTTGTAGATTAGGATGAATTTTCAAGCTATCTTCGGTTTTCAACCGCAGTTGTATCGGAAACTTGTATCAAAAATAAAAAATGCCCCTATCTATTAGTCTTAGTGCTATTGTGATCTCGAGATAGAGACAGAATGTGGGCCATGTGTCCCCGCGTCCCGGGCGCCGGTGCCTGGCCGACGGGGCTGGCCGGCGGTGGTGCGCGCACTAACCTGAGTCCCGCTTGTAGCGCGCCCGCGAGCCCGCAGAGCCCGGGCTCTCCGTCGCAGCCCTACTTCAAGTTCACCGACCCCGCGCTGCAAGCCAGCGCCGTCACTATAAAAGAACGGCTGCTGCACTGGTGTCGCGACAAGACCCGGGACTACGAGGTACTGCACGCCGCACGCTGCGCCCAGCGCCCAGCGCCCTGAGCCCTGCGCCCTGCGCCCTGCGCCCTGCGCCCACCACTCTCACTTCCTGATGCTCCTTCACACTCACTCACTATCTGTAATTCGTCACTGTCAGCTGTCAATCTGACAGCTCATTTAGCACTAGTACCCTAGTTATTGGCCAATGTAAATTTTATACTACATTGTTACGTATATGTAACCGATTCAAAAGCATTAAAAACTGTTACAAGTGACTTTATCCCGTACAATGATTAGACTCATTAGTACAGAGATGTTGAGATGAGAGCGATAAGATTTACATATGCCAGTGCGGCGGCGGCGGCAGCGGGCGTGGCGGCGGCAGCGGCGGCGGTGTGGCGCTACGCCTCTCATACAATTCACGCTTTTTACGCTTTATATGGCTGTGCTATTCTCTTATTGTACACTTTCTATGTATATATACAACATACAGTCTATACTTCATCTTCATATTTATCACACGACCAATTTTTATTACTTTGGTATCGTATAATTAATCACAAATATCGAAATCATACAAGAAATAATACGATAAACGATCGAGTGTTTATTAAAAATATTAACTTTTTTCTTTATAAAAACTAGACATTTGAAGTGGAGACTAACGTTGATAATTAAAAAATACGAAAACGTAACAGAAATAACGGTGTTTGTTTTGTAGAGCATGATTGTGTTGATATGATTTCAAGTCGGGCAACACCAGCTGCGACTGGCACGGCTGCGTTCACAACATTTCTAAAATTATATTATTTTTTGTTAGCCTAATTTTGAAAGAAGGGAATCACTGTGACTATTATTTTATTTTCCACAGTTAATTGTACTTTGGCAACTTCTTTTTGAATTTCAGTGTTTATAAATAATGTTTTTAATAATTTAAATGTTAACACGTTAAACGAAACAGTAGTAATAGAATTTTTTTTTTTTGCTGGAAATTGATGCGTGATGTCAGAAACTGGTTTCCGCAGATATTATAAAAAAAACCTTTATGAGGTCACAAGTGACTGTAGTGGCGTTTAACGTGTTAGTTGTACATAATTTTTTGTTAATATGTTTCTTCATAGAGTAATGATCAAAACAAATTATGTAAATGTAGAAATGGTAGAGTTGTTGTGTGTTGCCGCACGATGTCACATAGTGTGACGACGTGCGGCATGATGTGAGACATGTGTGACATGTGCCGCAGAATGTGAAGCTGGAGAACTTCTCGACGAGCTGGGCGGACGGGCTGGCGTTCTGCGCGCTGGTGCACCGCTTCGTGCCCGACGCCTTCGACTACCGCGCCCTCTCGCCCGACAAGCGCCGGCACAACTTCACGCTCGCCTTCAAAATTGCCGAGTGAGTATACATCATCGTGGCACGACCGCCTCGCTCGCCCACCTGGCCCATCTCGCCCACCTCGCCCACCTCGCCCACCTCGCCCACCTCGCCCACCTCGCCGCTGAATGACCACTATCACTGTGTTAATGTCTGCAGAGAGAAGGCGGGCATCTACCCCCTGCTGGACGTGGACGACATGGTGGCGATGCGCAAGCCGGACTGGAAGTGCGTCTTCACCTACGTGCAGTCCATCTACCGCCGCTTCAAGGACGAGAACTAGTCCGCGCCCGGCCGCCGCTCTGTGCGCATGTGCGGTTGTCTGCTGCCGGCTGCCGGAGCGGCGGCCGGCCTCGCTCGGTAGTCGAACGCCGCGGTCGCGCGACGCGGTACAATCCTTTCGATATATTTATTCTTCCAAAGAACGTTTGTTGAATTATTTGTTGCTATATGTCAGATGTTTATCGGCCAGCGAGCCGCCCCGCCCGACTCGCCGTTTCTCCAAGCGCTGTCTCGTAAACGGTCCTCCTATTTATTATAATCTCAAGATGTATGTGATTTTTTATAAATTAGCGCGTAAGTTAACTAACAAATATCTCGAGCGATGTTAATCTAGGTCATGCGTAGTTGTAGTTCTTATATAAGTTGTATTGCGGTGAGGATATCTCCGACAGCACAGATCGGCGCGCGGGATCTCCTTCACTTATTTCACTACATAAGCGAGATGTATCCTCGCCTCGTCTCGCCTCGTCTCGCCGCGCTCACCTTTACGATGGTTTTAACATTAGTTTAATTGTTTATTCTTTTTTTAATTTGACATTAATAATATCGGCTTCAAATAATTGCCTACTGACTATTTTATAAAACTGACTACTATTGTATTATTATTTATATTATATTATGAGAAATTAAATAAAATATAATTAACATTTTCATTGGTGTCGTTTTATTTACACCTCTCGTGTATTCCTGAATAAAAAAATAAAAATAGATAAAAAGGCGATGAATATAAATGCGCTGGCTAATGAATATATAAAGATTTTAGTCATTATAGGTATCTGTTAGGTAGGTATAGCTGAGAGCAACGGTTCACATGGGGGCGTCCAGGGGGAGAGGGGGGGTGGTGCCGCTGTGGGCGCGGGGCGGGGGCGGGGGCGGGGGCGCGGCTTCAGACGAAGCCTGCGAGAGCGTGGGCGTTGGCGCACGCGAGACGTCGGCGGAGACGTGGGAGGTGTGGGAGGCGCGCGTGGAGAGCTGTCGCGAGGGCGCAGGCGTGGTGTCGGGGAGAGTGACGTGCACGTGCAGCGTGCTGTCGCGCCACGCGCGCCACGCCGCCTGGTGCTCCTGCACCTTCAGCAGCATCCACGTCGTCAGCAGGCCGTTCAGCGCGCCTGCAAACCACCCCATCTCTCACTACTAGCATAAACTTACTCCCCTAGCCTTTCTGGATAGAATGTGGATGACAACAAAGGTAGAGGAACACCGAATAAACTATGACGGGTTGCGTGGCAGAGGATTTAAATTCATTTCTTTGGCCCTTACGGACCAGAGAAGTAACCGGTGTGTGATTTCGTACATACAAATAATAACACCGAGTTTAGGGAATAATCTGGGTTACTGTCTAAAAGTACGGCTAAATGGTTGTTGGTGATAATGAGCACACGCGATATGTATGGTGACCGAATGTGACTTCTTTGTATGAATGTTCACGAGAGTTATAAAATGTGGTAATGTTGGCTAATTGCGGGAAAACATGTATTTTGTTGTTTACACCGTACACATAGTTACTGGAGATTAAATGTTAGGTAAGCATCACTTATTTCATTTATTCACTGCATATTTCAACATGATGCGCAAGGTAAACATACTCATGATAAGAGTAGGTATAAAAAGTAGTGTAAATGCGTACGTACCGACGAGTCCTATGAGGAGCGAGGAGAAGACGTTGGCGGCAAGCGCGGGCAGGCCGCCGCGCCTCGCGCCCGCCTGCAGCGCCGCGTCGCACGCCCGCAGCGCCCGCGCCGTGCCCAGCAGCGCGCCCGCCGCCAGCGCCGCGCCGCGGCTCGCGTCCGCCAGCAGCGCGCGCGCCCCCCCGCCTCGCGCCCACGCCAGCGCCGCGCGCCACCACGACCATCTGCAACAACACACACATACTAAATACAAATACGTACTAATGAGAACTATTCCAGTAGATGGTGAATATATGGTGTAACAGAACACGGCGACGCTTAACACGAGGTAATATAATCGTGTGGATATGGTCGGATAGTATGAGGCGAGCACTAACTTGTGCGTCCTGGTGACGACGTAGTGGTAGCGACACAGCTCGCAGTGCGAGGTGGCGGCCTGCAGCAGCCAGCGCTCGAGGCAGGAGCGGTGCACGGCGGCCACGGTGCCGCGGCAAGCACACGGCCGCGCCAGCCGCTCGCGCGACGCTCCACCGAAACAGATGCGGCAGATGCTGCCCGACTGCCGGCTGCGCGCGCCGCTCGCCTCCTTGCCCGCGATCGCACCCGCCCCGGAAGAACCCTAACACAAAGTCGAAAGTCGATATCTTTAACACCAACAACAGGGCAGTGTTAGTTTGGATACGTAGTTCGGGGTGTCGGAGCGACGAAGTGTTTTCTGTTGCAAGATTAAAGAGAACCAAATTTATACCAATTTAAGAAAACGAAACGTTTAACTTCGGTGCGCTGACCTGTTTCCTCAGCAGCAGCGCGCACACGGAGCCCAGGATGGAGGCGGAGCGGTGGGCGGGTGGCGGGGAGGGCGGTGCGGCGTACGTCAGCGAGTCCGCCAGCCGCTCGCGCAGCGCGCGCTGCGACTCCGCCTCGCCCACTAGCACTGACCGAAACAAAACTTGGATCTTAAAAAAATAACTAATTTTTAATGCATATAAGGGATTCAAAAAGTAAACAAAAAAACGTTGCATTTCTTACTCTTAATTAAAAAAAAAAAACAATTAAATGAAGTCGGTCGCCCTTTACTGCCATATCAACGTCCGGCCAGCTTTGGAGAGTACACATTTTAGGAGAATCCTAGTTCGTACGATAATTTTTATTTCTTAGTGTTGTTTATTCTACTTATAAGTAATATTGCAAAGAAGACCTGGCGAGGCGAAGCTGGAGTAGCCGCAGCTGATGTCGGTCTGCTGGCCCGTGGAGCGCAGCGGCAGGTTGCCTTGCGTTCCTGGCTGCGAGGTGGTCAAAGTTTATCGTAGAGGCAAACGTAAGTGTCGCTCAGGGTTTATCCAGAAACCACTTTGCACCTCGTTAGGTGCATATTTATATAATAGCATAATTTTCTTTTTAATGGAGATAATTATTTTCGTGGGAGAGGTTGATTTGTAAATAGCACTTTTGTAAACTTGATATGTTTGTTAGGCAAAGCATACAAATCGAGGTCAGATTTACTAAATGAATGGAGGTGGAGCGGTGTTGTATAAACTGAAAAATGTAAGCATCAAAATGAGCAATGATACATACTGACATGAGGATTGAGGTGCTGCTGGAAGCTGACATGATCGTTATTCCGCTGTCGGAGGTGCCGTAGCCCCAGAAAATCAGCAAGGTCTGTCCTTCTGCTACATTACACTCCTATATAAACATAACCATTTCATTATTTCTCTAGTTTCGGAGTCTAAATAATGCAAATTTATAATATTACAATAGTTAATCTATTTTTTTAAATCTTACCCTAATAAGATTGGCGTAGCTGCATCTTCTATGAAATTTGAAATCAACGTTTTGTAAAGCCTCTTGAATATTTTTCTTATATTCAGGTGGGGCAAGAATTGCGCGTCTTAAATTTTGTATTATATCTCCTGAAAATCTCGGACTTTCTTCATTTTCACTAAAATTATTTAACATGAACACTTTACGCATTATTCATTTTCTGGGGCACGGTCCTGTTACCAAAATATTGTATAAATTATTGGAACATTCTACAAATATGTATGTGTCATGTATAAATGCATTGTGCATTGAGCTGTAAACGTATAGATTAGCAATGAACCTATTCAAAAGTTCAGCTCATATAGGCTTGAGCTATTGAGCTGCGGATCAACGACTAAAATGGCAGCTCACGAGACAACGCGATGCACATTTTACGAGCTGATGAGCCGCGATTTAGTTTGCATATCCGATTAGACCGATCATAACACTATGCAGGTACATATTGAGTTGATTTGCGAGTCGGTTTAATGATCTACTTGGCACATACAAAATACCGACAACTCATTAACGTCCCCCTGGCAACGTCAAAAATGTCACAAGATCCTCTTTGTACTGTAGCTGACATCTAATTTTTTTTCTTTTATATCTAAGTAGATTTTATATGTATTCTTATAGAACTAACTGCTATAGCAGCCTCACCGATTCAGATTTCTTGGTTTGACTATAGCTGCACGAAATGATATTGTCAATTACTACTATTTTTGATGAGTTACCGTGGGTTTCTGAGACCAAAATCCCCGTGTAAAACATAATATGTTTCTCTGTTTTGTCAAAGATAATGATATGAATGACCATATGTTTTATACAAATTTTGGTCTTAGAAACAAATGGTAAGTCAACACATTCGTTTGAAAAATCGTGGATTTAAATATGAACATTGATGAAGATGTAACGACAACATACTATTATATTTTAGATTACATTTTAAGTAATAAGATTATTTTAACTATTTTATAATCGATACTTACTTTTTTTAAATTTGAACGCGTCCGATTGCACAACATGGTGAATAGCGCGAAGGGGAAGAATTGTATGGCTGTTAATTTATCTTTATAAATGGATAGCCGATTGCTTGGAAATGAGAGCTACTGCTTCGTTCCGATTTTAGCGTGCCCCTAGATGTTACGAGGCAGTTCATCCTGTCTACGTTTTTAGTTCGAATCCATACCACCGGTACAAAACGCAACCATCAGCGCCAAAATGGCGAAAATCAAATGGGCACAAAATACTATTTCTTTTAGCCAGTCCATTTTTATAGGTCAATGTATGGCTGACATTTATCTGTCAAAGCGACGTTTAAAATAGAGTTGCACGTGAAGATTGAAATACTTTGTGTAATACATTTTTACTCATCGTTGCTCATAAACAAGCTTAACAAGTTAAATAAAAACATGGCGGTCCGCGTACAATTTGAAAATAATAACGAAGTGGGAGTGTTTAGTAAATTAACAAATTCTTATTGTATGGTCGCAATCGGCGGCTCAGAGAACTTCTACAGCGTTTTCGAAGCGGAATTATCAGAAGCCATTCCCGTTGTACATGTGAGTATAGCCGGCTGCAGGATCATCGGTCGCATGACTGTAGCCAACAAGAACGGCCTGTTGGTACCGTCGTCCACGACTGACACGGAGCTACAACACATCAGAAACAGTTTGCCCGACAACGTCAAAGTGCAACGAGTCGAAGAAAGGCTGAGCGCTCTAGGAAACGTGATAGCATGCAACGACTACGTAGCTCTAGTGCACCCAGACCTCGACCGCGACACTGAAGAAATTCTAGCAGACACGCTGGATGTGGAAGTGTTCCGACAAACGGTAGCCGGCAACGTACTTGTAGGCTCTTATATAGCACTGAGTAATCGAGGGGGGCTGGTGCATCCAAAAACCACTATACAGGATCAAGATGAACTCTCCTCACTCCTGCAAGTGCCTCTTGTGGCGGGCACGGTGAACAGGGGCAGTGAAGTGGTGGCTGCGGGGATGGTGGTCAATGACTGGTGTGCATTTTGTGGCATGGACACTACATCTACTGAAATATCTGTGATTGAAAGTGTTTTCAAATTGAATGATGCTAAACCCACTGCCATCACATCCACAATGCGAGCATCTCTCATTGACAGCATGTCATAACACCAGTCGGCAAAGCTAATGACTATAGCATTTATGTTATGTGATGTTTAGTTTGTAAACATTTTCTATGATAAAATATTACAGGTAACATTTCCGTTGCCCGATCAATTTGCAAATACAAATTTTGAAAATGACATAATTGTCTAAATTACACAATGTACATATTGCTATTCCTTACTTGTTTTTTATTGTTGTGCAATATTTTTGTTGTCTTAATATTGTACAATAGTATGTAATTTACATGTATGTGAGGTGCAAAAGTTAAAAAAAATAATAAACTATTTTCTATAATTTGTTTTATTTCTTTGTCTCACAAATTTACTATTATTTTTATATAAAATATTCAAAACATACCATCATACATACATACATACATACATGGGGCATTACTTAATTTAATTATGTAAGAGTAAAGTCTTTAGTGAATATTGTGAATAAAAATAGATATATCTAAATATCAGATAATGAAATAAGATAATACAATTAAATCACATATATCTACTAACATAAAATGTTGAAGCAATATTTCGTAGACTGCTTTTGTTTTTGATGTGTTGCCTGCCTTAATTATATAGAGGGTTTTCCCTTCCCTATGTCATATTAATGCTAAATTTGTGGTTTGTATATAATAAAGAAGGACAATTTTGAATCGTTAAAACATCGGCAGCTGGCGGATATTAAATAATATTTTCTTTGTTTAAATAGTGCTACGGCCCACAGGTGGTCTTTTGTACGGCTTTTTTTCACAATGCTGTACACGGCCGGGTCGACATTGGCAACACCTATGTAGAGTCTTGTCTATAGTGGCCACTGCACTGCGTCAGTGCGGCTGCTGTAAAATTAATAAATTTAATTAAATTTTACGATTAGAGTATTTAACGCCATTACATTATACAATTTTTGTTTGAATACGAGCAACCGCATTAAATATTACGCGTTTTCATAAAATACTATTCACAAATGTATAACAAATGTAAGTTTAATATATATTTTTTTAATATTTTTTTTATTTGTGCATGAGGTATTTATAAATATCTTTTTAGAGACTAAAAGTTACGACATGAGTGGTTATATATGGTTTAAATCGCTACAAAAGACTTTCGCTATTATTGATTTTCTCGAATCCCAATACTACTCCATGTATCGTGCTGAATTCTGGCATAACCTAAGTGCCAAGTTTCTTTTGTTTAATACAATGAAGTTTTTCTGTAGACAATACCCGCAACCATGGGCGCTACAACAAGCAGGGGCAATTTATACCGGCAAACTCCGCCGGTGAGGTGAGAGACATTTACTTCCCTATTACTAACTTAACAACACTCTATAAAGGCAATTTTGCAGCAACCTAAACATATTCGTAGTTCTAGCATATATATACAACACATAACTATTGAGTAAAATTTATATTTTTCTATGTTTTGATATGGTTACTTTATATTTATAATTATTTAGTTGCACATGTTTTATTAAAGGAGTAGTGTATATTTTGTGCAACTTCCTAGAGCCGAACCCAATAAATATCGTTGTTTAACCTGTTAAATAATTGAAACATAGAATATATTTGTACGGGATGTTTAAAAATAGATAAATAGCATCCTAAAACATAGATCTGGGTTACCTTTTGTTATTGGATGAATTTAGAAAAAATAAATAAGAAAAAATTATTAGAGTTATCAATTATTGGGTTCAGCATCTCCTTATACATTGTGACATATCCAGTTATATGTAATAAAATTACTATGAAACATTAAAGTTGTTATTTTATATATATCAGCTTTTACAAAACATTTGATGATAAATATGTTTATCACAGCGCAGCCCTGAGCATCAGACCTTGGCGCTGGCATTACAAAGTCACCGGCTAATCTCTGACTGCGCTCAAATCATATCCATGCAATATCATAGAAGTTTTATGCATCAATGAATGCTTGATAATCTCTATGATATTGAAAATTTGTGAAAAGATATATTTAGTATTTGTATATAATGGGTTTGTGCCTCTCAGAGCATAGCCAAGGATGAGAATGCGTTATGTACATGAGACATAGGTTTTGTGTACATATAGATTTCTCTAGACTAAGTATAGTATCCAACTCTAGGCTCCCGCAATGTGCCTGCCCTCTAATGTTGTAAAGGAATGTAGATAACCACTTAGATATAACATTGACCTATCCAATGGCGGGGGAGTTAAAACTCCTCTGATGGGATGGGCTGAGACATGCAAGTGGTTGCTAAAGATGTTGCTTGGTTCAACCTCAGCGGGTGGTCACATGGTAGGAACATAGAGGATGATGGTAAATGCCAGCTGCCCTCTTATTTGGTTGTGGATGTATGTCTCTTGTGTTAGCTATAAATAGATATTGTAATAATATTTGTATGTATACAAACTTCTTCACTACATTTTCAATTCAGACTTGTAAATTGTAAATATTAAATTATCAGATATATCCCTTTATAAAAAACTAGCATAACTTTCTAACCGATTCACCATATCGTTTAAATACAAGTAGAATGTTGGGGTTACAAAACAGATATTTGTAGTATCAGTTACAACATGATAGTTTGGTTTCTGTTTCTGTTTGTGTGTGATGTATGAGAGGCAGAGAGGGGCAAGGGGGATTGCTGTCGAGGCTACAATGCCCGCTGACGGTTGCCGTGGCGTGCAGGGCTCCTGGCTGTCCGACAACCAGGACCATCAGCGGCGCTCCAACCTGCGGGAAGCCAGTGTGAGTTGATCATTAGATTTTTCATGTATCTACTGTGGGAGACGCTAAGTGTAGTTTTATATAAGAAATGTTCACTCAACAATTGGTTTACTGACTCATGGTATGGTAGTTCCCCTTAAATCGCGCAACTTGTATTTTGTTGTAGGTAATGACTTACTATATGTATTACCATAACTTTTTTTTATGTATACTTCATGTTTATGTTAAAAAAAGCATTTTTTTTTCAGCGAAACTACGAGCCCGAGGACTCCAAAGTTGACCAGCCCACAAAAAATAACTTCAAGGTACTTTATTAGCAGATGCTATATTAACATAACTAGCTTGTAGAAATCTTTCATAGATTATTCAGTTGTTTGTCAGCCAGTTTTTGTAAAAGATGGTCATTTGACAGGACGAGGATCATGACACGAAGAAAGAAGAAGACTTGAACACGTCCACTGATAATAACGCCCGCCCCTCCTGGATGAAGTCTAAACTAGCTGGAGGTAAGAGTTGAGAAATGTCTTGATGATTGACTTCTCTCCAAACATCTCTTATATACTTATTGCTTATTTGAGTTTGTGTAAAGTTGGTTTTTTCATGTAAAGTGAAGAAGATCAGCAACAAGGAGCGGCGGCGGCGGCAGAACGAAACGCTGCGCCGGCTGCTCACGCCCAAGAACGCGCTCATGGTGCTCAATGAGATGCTGCCCAAGGACCAGCTCGCCTCAGTCAGTACACGCCCCTCACCCCCACGCCCACACACCGTCACACCACCACACCACAATACACACAGAGCATAAGCAGCCTAGTTAGTTGCATATATCCTAAATGTGTGGTTGTGTTGCAGAATTTCAGAGTGGAGACGGTGTCGAGCCCCAACCAGTACGTAAAGCCGCACTCGTACCGCGCCAACCTCACGCTCGAGGGGAACGACTACAAGGGATTTGGTATGTAACCCTTGCCTTACACCTCCTTACACCTCAAGAGAAGAGAATTAGCAGTCATTAAAGCACCCGGAGACAGTAGCAGTTTGAGTACAAGACTCTTGTAATATTGCAGGTGAGAACAAGCTGATGGCGCGTAACGCGGCGGCGGAGCAGGCCATACGCGACCTCATCATCAAGAAGATGAGCAAGGCCATCAGTTACGAAGGTATCTCATTGATCACAGTTCCACGCGTCGAGTGACGATAAAACCAAATATGTTTGTGTTTAGTACTAATTCAAATAATTGAAGATTTTTGATCTGAAATAAAGTCGCGTTTGTGTCGTCAGTATCGGGGACGGGCGCCGGAGCGACCAGCATCGGCGAGGAGACGGAAGAGGAGCCGCTGCCGATGATCCAGCTGGCGTCCTTCGCGCTGCACAAGCTGTTCTGCGAGTGGGAGGTGGAGGGCCACAAGGTGCCGCAGCTGAAGCCGCCCTCCTCGGCGGTCAGTGTTCGCTCCCGTCTCGTCGTCTCGTCGTCTCGTCTAAGTAACGCGTTCAGTACGATACAATCGGTCGGTACGTTTCAGCAAGTGACGGAGTCCGAGTTCGCGATGGAGGTGGAGTCGGTGCCCCGCACTCCGCGCGGCTCCAAGAAGCCGAAGACGCTGCCGGCGGACGCGAGCACCATGCACCCCTGCATGCTGCTCACCTACATGCGTCCAGCCCTCGAGTACCGCGAGCTGGCCGCGCAGGGAGACCGCCCCCAGAACATGCTCTACACCTTCGCGCTCGACGTCGACGGCGCCACCTACATCGGCAAGGGTGAGCTCTGAACGTCCTCATCTCCCTCCTCGTCCTCCACGCAGCTCCACCGAGCCGCGCCGGACCTGCCCCTGAATATTAAATGGCCGCTGTGACAAAATGGGTACCGAATCAAAAGATTCGATTAATAGATCGACTGCAGATGTCTTTAGGAAAAATAATAAAAAAACATATTGTTTCCAGCATCCAACAAGAAGGAGGCGCGTCGCTCCGCGGCTCAGGCGGCCTGCAAGGCGATCTTCGGCATCGAGTTCAAAAACTCCGCCTCGTACTCCTCCTAGCTCACACATACACCTCGCACCTCGCACCTCGCACCACGACACCTAGAAGTTATGTGACCTTCCATTGTGCTGACACTTGTAACTAAGTTTGAGGAAACACACACAATGTGAACACACACAAGTAATGTGAAATAGTGTAGCTCACCCCGATAGTCTCCCTCTCGTAGATTCAACAGATGTATTTAACATTTTATCTCTACCTTTTGATTTCTTATATAATTGTAGTTAAAATGAGTATTGTCATGAGAGTGTTTCACATGAAAGGATTGTTCCTGATCAATTTTAATTTTTAATTTAGTATAAGTTTTACATTTAATTTTAAGTTGACGAAATGTTTTATTTATTAAGATGAATAAAAAAATTAAGATTGCTTGACATTTAATTTTTTACCCGGAGTGTTAGCAAGTTGGCAACATTTGTATGTGAACTCGCGCCCGGCTCTGCACATTAGTGACTAGCGGTCGCACGCGACTCCGTCCGCGCGATATTCAAAACGCGTCTTCTTCCAGACTATGTTCTATATGCATGGCGAATTTCATCGAGATCCGTTCAGCCGTTCTGGAGATATCTCCATACATCCATCCATCCATCCAAATATTCCCATTTATAATATCAGTAAGATTACCTTTAGGAGTGAAAAATAAAAGTGAATATTGATACGTAACTATATTTAATAACATTTAGATAATGCACATCTTAGATTTGTTTGCATTATACAATAATACCACCATATTTGATATTTGTAAAATAAAATACTATTCGGAATACTGATTGTTGACTGAATGAAAAGTTTCAACTTGACAATGTTACCAGATATACACATGTTAATGGCGAGTTATTTAAATCGGACTACGTGTGATTAATGCTACGATTTCTTGCACATATTCTTTCTTGCTGGGCGGACACACAAATTGGTGACGAACTCGATGACATGTCGTCATCCCTCTCGTTGTACTGGACAAAAGTGAGACAACGATATGGAAGATGAGTGACAAATATCATCTGCAGTAACACAAATATAAAGACGAGAACAAAATGTAACATGTACAGAACTAAGGCTATTCGCCGCTATACGCTACTCAGTGTTAGCTGATACTAACGCGCACGTACAACCTGTCTCCAAACTCATTTAATGTCGTACTCGGATACGTTTAGCGGCTTGATTCACACATTTTTGAAATTCGTTGTGAAATAGACCTACTTAATGAATATTTTAAAGGTACACTAAGGCAGTTATAAAAGGTACACGCTCCTGTCTCATGCGATCAGCGTCATGGCATGTGTTGATGTTGGCTTGTGGATCCGGAGAAATGGATATACAAAACAATTAAAATAAATTTGGAGACATCTTGTAGGTTTCTTGAGTATGTATGTCGTTAGACGAAGGGACAATATTGCACTACTGAAACAATATACATAAATAGCAACACTTGTAGAAACGTAAAAATATTGTAACATTAAAAATAAAAAGAATACGTTAAAAAACTGTAAAACTATCTTACAATACTCGAAATGTTGGCACGGTACCGGTACCTGATGGAGACTTCTTACATCTAAATAATTTGTATAATTTTGGACGTCAGTTTTAGCCGAAACGTATTCCTTGTATCTTCCAAACAAGTTGGCTGCTGTCACATTTCTTATCTGTTTAAAACAGAGGTAATGGTTACATTGTTCGTGATGTTTCTTATTTTCTTCAGGCTTAACTTCATTTACATCTAATCGTCCTATTGTGTGTTGCCTGTATATTTCCTTTTACATTCAAAACGCTACTTTCTTATCACTAGCAGATTGCTAGAGAAGTCATGGACATAGAACGTTTTCTAGTTCCACTAAACGGAGGTCAGCTTGCTAAAGGCGTGATGCCGGCTACAGCAGCCGGTACGTCCACATGGAGAGCGGGCTCTGCAGCAGTGCGAGGTGCGGCGACTCCTTGCCGCCCACCAGCAGCAGGTGCAGCTGAGTATCCCCGCCCCGCGCCCCGCCCGACTCCCCACCGCTGCGCCTCACCCCTAGCTCCTGCAGCTCGATGTCGCCCTGCCCCACGCCGGAGTCCGGGGTCATCGCCACCCCTAAGTTCCTCACGTCCGGCCCCAGGTAGTGTGGGTTGCTGAAGCCCAGCGACGAAGGTCCCGATGATATCCTGTTCACCTTTTCCGCACTCGCATAGTCCGACGTCGACAGTTCCGCCTCGTCTTCGCTCGCGCCTGTCGCGCTCTTAATAAATCTCACCGACGCCGACTTCGGAATGCTGATCACTTTAGTTTTTGGCGTTTTCGGTTCCTCGCCGTGCCCGTTCGGTGAAGTTTCCCTTTTGATGTCCTCCTCGTCCTCGGAGTCGAGGTAGACGAGCTTCGCGGCCTCGACGGGCGAGAGGACGGGCGTCGGTAGGATCATGTCGGCGAAGTCGGGTACGGAGATGGGTTCACGCGCAAGGTCCGCGCGGCGGGAGTCGGGCAGGTCGCCGGCGCGCGGGCTCTCGCCACCGTCGGCCGGCTGCCGCTCGTCGATGACGTAGGCGGAGCGCGACTTGGCTAGTGCGGGCCGCTCGGAGCGCGCGAGGCTCTCGGTGGAGTCTTGGTCCACGGCCGCCAGCACGCTGTACGAGCAGCGCGCAGCGCGGCGCAGGTGGAACGAGGATAACTTCGAGATTTCGCGCAGGAAGCCGCCGGGCGGGTCGGCGCGCGCGCGCACGCTTGCCCGCCCTTCTCCCATAATCGCCCCCGCCCTCGGCCGCTCGCCTTCCTCGATGCTCCCGCCGCCCCCACAGGCGCCTCCCACCAGCAGCGCGCGGCTGTCCACGCGGGCCGACGGCCACTTCACACTTTGGCTCATGCGCTCCCAGGTTTCTGTTGCTGTCGGAACGTTCAGATATTGAAAACGTTATAAATAAATCATTAACTTTTTTACAAGATAAATTAATATGTGTGTTGGGGTCATCAATAAACGAAAAATTTGATAGAGTCGATACCGAAATGAAAGCGCCACATTTCGTTGGTGGGGTGTCCGCGAGCCTCGCCGCCGAAGATGTAGAAGTGCGCGCCAGCGCGCAGGCCGACGTGTCCGCTGCGCGCTCCCGGCGCCGGGCCCCGCCCTGCGCGCACGCACGTCCACACGCGCGACACTGTGCAGCGATACTTTGTTGCAGCGGCAAGTCGGCAGTCGTGGCAAACACTCAAGTTGATACAGTGTGTTGTGTTACATACGGATGTCGTAGTGCCAAAGGTCGGCGCAGTCGCGCAGGTCGCACTGCCCGCCGTGCACATACAACCGGCCGGCCAGCAGCGCGGCCGCGTGCCGGTGCCGCGCCGGGCCCGCGCGCAGCGCTCGCACCTCGCGCCACGTCTCTGACTCTGAACGACAACAGTTTAAATTATTACCCTCGAAAGATAAGATATTAATTTATAGAGTTATAAAAATTTGTTGTGTTTGTACCATAGTGGAAGGCCCAGAGCTCATTGGTGGAGCCGCGCAGGTCCATGTAGCCGCCGTAGAGCAACAAGCAGTCGTCCAGCGCGTGCGCCGAGTGGCCGCGACGCGCGCTTGGGGACACACCCCCCGCCGCCCTCGTGCCGCGCCGCCTCGCCGCTCCGCCCCCGCACGATACGCGCCCCGGCAGCTTGCGCCACACGCATAACTGCAACCAACTCATAAAATTCTACCAACTTCCTTAACCACATGTCGCAAGCTTTTGAGTATCTTGTCGTTCACACAACGACGCACGATATGTGCTGGGTATTTGTGGCGGGCACGTCGTACTTGCGTGTCATATATCCAGAGCGGCGTCTCGCTGGAGGAGGAGCCGGGTTCACCACCGAACACGTACAACTTGTCTCCATGCGCGGTGGCGGAGTGCTCTTGCAGCGCGGGCGGGGGCTCCCCGCGCTGCTCCAGCCGCTCCCACTCGCCCCGGGCTGACACACACACCCGACCATTGTTAGCCTTGGCATTGTTATAAGTATATGTAACTCCACATTGCCATAAATGGTTGAATCAAATACACCATTTTAAGCAGTTTTGTATCTTGCATTTTGGATCTAAATAAAAACATACTTAATAAATAAAGTTTTTTCAAACGCTTTGTCGAGAATAACTCTTGTAACGGAGAGTGGAGATAAATAGTGATTGGGCACGTCCGGTGCGCGCCTGGAAGCTTGCCAAAGATCCGCGATGCTGCGATATTATGTAATCTTATATAGTATTATTAATAAATAAGAGATAAATATTCCTTAACGCGGAAATTGATGTTTTAGTATTGATTAGGTAGCGTGCATGTATTCATTACTACATTTATCTTTCTGCTTTACCAAGTGAGTATCGCCAAAAGTCCCTGAGCGGCAGACAGCCGCCGGCGCCGCGGCCTCCTAACACGTACAGGTGGCCGGCCAGCAGCGTCGCCGAGTGCTTGGCACGAGAGCACGGCGCCGCACCTACCGCACCTGCAGCGCTCTCCACGCACGTCCACATCTCACCTGAAAATCATACAGTTATTACAATATTAATAAATCCCCAAATCAAAATTTGATACTTGAGATCGATCCGCACGTTACTTTGATTAAGGAACAGGAGTAAAAAAACATTCGATCTAAAAATGTATCTGTAGTTTTATTCGACTGCTATTGTAATGTTTAAAGATTTAAAAAAAATTGTCGAGTAGACTGATTTTAGAACAGCAGCAGGGTTACCGCACCCTTGCAGCTATAATCACAGGGTTTAAGGACTCGATCTCGTTTCTCGGTGAAAATTCATCGCCCCGGCATCCCCTCGCAGTTCGGCCCTACGTCCCGGCCGCCGCCGCCGGCATCCCGCGCGTCACGCGTCCGTTAAATGAAATGCGAGCCTCCCTTGAACCCCGCACTCGCTGCTGCTACTTCATAAGTATTGCTCATTGATATCTGCGACCCTCCCTCACACAGACACTCGGTCGCGAAATGTCGTTTAAATCTGTAAATATTGACGATACGAGAGAAAACATTGGTTTTGTTGAAATCGAGAGAACTGTTCAATGATCGTTACATGTTATTATAATGTATTATATATAAATGTTTGTACTGAACCAAGTATTTATTCACGGCGATATTAAACAGTTACAACACTTTGTACGCCACGCGCTACGCGCTACGCCGTAGACGTAAGAGCAAGTCAAGATACGATTTTACAGCTAGTAAATTAATTTTACTTATTATTAATATTTATTGTATGGTGATTGTTTTGTACTTTTCCATAAGTTATTTAACACTGGATCACTTTGGAATGCAGTTCGCGAGTGCGTCCCTTTCTTCTAAAAATAACAGATTTATTTTAAAAGTAGTTATGTTTCCGTTAGGTTTTGTTTTTTGCTGGTACCAAAGCTAAGAGATCATAGTATCAATGTGTATTGCATCAAATATTTATCTAGGTCCGGGCAGCACGGCGCTCGCCGCTCGCAACCCTTTGTCCGCCCTCAGCCGCAACCCGCGGCTGCCCCGAGTTTCGCCTCCGCCCTGCGTCCGGTGTGTAAAAAAAACCAGACTACGCTTTTTTACCTTTTTCGTCGTCATTTGTTAAAAAGAGTAACCGTTTAAATTAGAGAGACTGTTTTCCACAGCCAAGTTTTTAAATTCAGCTGTATACAATTTTGTGTGGGTTTCATTTTGGTTTTTGAAATCTAGAAATCTGCAACGTCTTGATAATCCAAACCAACAAGCAATACATTCACAAGCATTACAGTGGTATGGTTATAAAACGAGGCTATGGCTAACAGAGATACTAAAGAACAAAGTTTATTTGACTAAATACATCTAAAAATAGTTTAGAAATGTGTCAGTCGCATCTGTTACTACATATGTATGTATGTAAGTTCTTGCAGAAATCGTTAGTACATCGATTTATCATAATTAATGTATTTTAATCACTACGGGGCCTAACGTTGAATAAAAGCGGTTTCACGAGTGCACCGCCTGCGGGCGCCGGGGTGGGCTCATGCTAGGCGGGGGCTAGTGTGGGGGCACGCCAGGCGGGGGCACTGCGTAGGTTGGGTGCCCGCTTATCTCATCGACGGCGCTTAGCTCTGTGTGTGGGCCGAGCTCCGTTGCCACATCAGTGGACTTAATTGAAGGTCCCTGCACAGCTTTTGATGTGTACGTAAGTAGAACATCTCTACTCCGTGACTTTTTAGGTGTTTTAATTTTAGGTGATATATAAATTTGGATAAAGGGCAAGTTGCTATTTTAAAAAGTACTGAAAATGTGCTACGGTTTTGTACGTGTACATATGTATGTCCCACCACTAACATAATTAACACGCATTACTGTCGGCAAGGAAGCGCTTGTTATGCATGCAAATCTATGTTTTTCATTTTATATATATTTCAAACGATATGGTTTCGATCATTTATATGGCACGTACATACTTCGTACTGTTCACGTAGGAAGTATATCATTTTCCGTCAAAAATCACTTACGTACTCTAGCTGTTTCACTCTTCAGCAACCTTTGCTCCATGTAACGAGCACGGATCTTATCCACTCAATTTGAGGTTCGTTTAAGCTGAAACTAGTTTCAAGGTCACATGGCAGTTTTATATAATATAATGTATGTGATATAGCCTGTATGTAGAGCTTTCTTGTGCTATACTGATACTGACTCATGTATTTGTTGGGGTTTCTATCTTTTTTTTTCCATTTCATTATTTTACATAAACATCCCTATTTAGTGAGTGTAACCACACTACAAGTACTATGATGTTTATAAATTTGATATCCACTTACGAAAGAACTACATAGAATGTAATAGTTTGGTAACAGAGATGTAAAGAAAGATTTAAATTTTCTCCCCTTTTCCGGAAGCGCATTAAAAGGCAGGTTGCGGGCGCGGCGCACAGCGGCGGCGTTGTGTGCTTTGCTGTGTGTAGGGCAGGGCGCACGACGCTTTGTATCGGCCCCATGCGCGTCGTGAGTACGGTTGCTCGCGTGACGCTTGTTTTATTGTAACGTGCATTTGACTACGAAATGCCGCACGCGATACACTTTATATACTTATGTACATAGCTTGAAATATTGCAAGGAGATAAAACATAGTTTTTATTGATATTTTATTATACAAAGGTTACTAAGGTTTATGCTTTGAGTGAAAGGGACATACACTTGTAACAAATGTATGTAAGATTTTTTTGAGTTTATCGAAAAAACACTTGTTCCGTGTTGCTTGTTAACTGCAATATTCTGTGCATTGTCGTTATACTGATCAAATAAAAACAGCCGGCACGGCGCGGCAGTGTCATCTGTCACATTGTCTAGTCGCAATCATCGACACGATGTCACATTTACATCGATTTAAATTCCCGACACGGGGAAGGGCGCAGCCCCAGCCGGCGCGACGTCGACATGGGCCCGACAAATTGGATTTCAATGCCCCATGTGCAGGTTGCATTCACCAAATTCTCTTAGATGAAAAAATCATATTGACAATTTGAAAACATCTTCACTTATTGATGAAGCTGGTTAAAATTATATTTGACACGTGATATGTTTCGTCATCATCACTTTTATGGTTACTCATAATAATGTAATATTTAATATTTAACATGTTATAATTAAGTAAAAAGCTGAGTCAATACAAATTTTGAAGTTCTAAGTTACTTCCAAGAACGTCAAAAAGAGCTGATGTGTTTCTTTATCTGAGGATCAGTACGGTCGGGCTCACATTAACAAAATATTTCTCTTTCGTGTATTTCAAAGGGATCATAGCAAGCTAGCACATTATCTGATGAAGGGTACGTTTTTCATTTAATATCTTATTCAATGAGGTATCAGTATTATATAAATTATTGTATAAGAAAGAATAAATAATATTATATAATACTAGATAAAGTCACTGAAATGTAGTGATTACTATAGAAGTTAAATACAATTGAACAAGTTATCTTACTAATATTATAAATAAATACGAATATTTAGACGGGTGGAAGTTTGTCTGAAGCACGGATGTATAGATCTAACTGAAATTTGGTATAGATGTAGAACATAGTCTGGAGAAACACATATAATAAAGTTTTATAGTTATTACTTGTTTAATTCCGCGTTGAAGAAGTCGCAGTCGGGTGCTAGTTTTCGATATGTTTAACATAACACCGAGCGTAAACATTGAGACCGAGGTTGAATCAACAGGATAATAATCATTAATTCTGAATATACTTGCGTAGTTATTAATTCGTAAACCTATTTCATAAACCATCTTCAAGAGTAGACAATAATAATGACAAGCTAATGAGACCATCAAAGTCTTTCCAAATGTCAAATACTCGAAAAGATTATTGCCATCAAAATTTTAACTGTGGATTCGCCACAACTCACTTTATTTACACACAACAGAATGCAAACAAGGAAAAAAACGCTTTAACACTTCATACTTAAGGTAAGTTATTGCTCACGGCGAGGTACCCGTCTGGTTTAGAGGGTGAGCAGCCCTCACGTGGCCGCTATCGACGCTGTTATGTAATAACATCCAGTCTGTTCGGCTCTCAACGACCAGACGCTTGTTCGGGAATAATTAAAAGGAGACATGTTCAATAATTGTACAGCTAATCGAGCTAACTGAGCGATTGAATTCTTACACTACGTCTAATTATTACTTAGAAAACGTCCACGAACTCCACGAAGACTTTTCCGACAATTTTCTAGAGATGGGTAGAACGAAAATAAGCCGTACAAGCAGCTTCAAGAGGATGGTATTAAGTGGCAAAATTAATATTTGCCATTAAAGGGACTGATGCAGAATTTTGTTGCCGTCACTTAAATGTCAATATGTATCTTGGCTTCCTCGACAAAACTATGATGTTCCTCTTAACAGGTTTCTTAATGCTTCGAGCGTACAGAATCTGAATCCAAAACTGTATTGACTGTCGTAAAACCCAGACGATAACGATTAATCAAAACTTTGTTAGCAAACAGTAAGGTTAGTTGCCTCCGAGCGATCCCAGTCGCTCACTAAATCAACTATTGAACAAAGACTTTTTACTGAGGAATGTTTTTTAATCGACGGAAATTTTATACTTTGAAACTGTGTATAAATGTTAGCAAATACGCAAATAAAACAATAAAGTAAATAGTTTAATCTTATTTTGTAGAAATAGTAGTTATTTATAATTTTACCATATGAATTAGCTGATTCAGTCTCAATATTAACCCTTCGATTTTGTCATCAAAATGTAGAAGGTCTATTATCAAAAAAATGTAACTTCACTATTGTATTCTGATGTATGCAGTTAAAAGGTTAATAAAAGAGGTGAAGGTAATATATGTGTCATGTAGAGTAGTAGTAGTACAGCAGAGGTGAGAGCTAAGCTCAGTGTGTGGGCCAGGACACCGCCTGCGGCCGCGAGATACACTTGACACTGTTTGTAGGCTAACATTGTACCATCTGGTAGGGATAGGTACCTCGATTATGTTTCTGTCTTAAAATTACTACAATAATTAATATTATACATCATAATATAACTAAAATTAGTTTTGGATCACGTCAAAAAATTCTCACTTGTTACGTATCGGTTAATGAAGTTAGTAATTACATTTCATGTATGAGTTCGGTTGTGATTATCAATGGATTTGTTGTATTTACTAGCTGCCAACCGCGACTCCGTCCGCGTTATACTAAAAATATATATAATTAAAAGCGTGTGTGTTCTTCCAGACTATACTCAACATCTATGCTAAATTTCAGCGAGGTCCATGCAGCTGTTTTAGAGGTAAATCATAACAAACGTCCATCCATCCATTCAAACATTTGCATTTGTATAATATAATATTATTAGTAAGATGTATCAATGTAATCTATTTTTAATTGCAACACATTGTAATCAGTTGTTAACAACATGTAGCTGTCTTTTGTCAACAAAGAAACCCTTTAAAAATTATGGGAGTTAGGATTTTAAAGAGTCAAAAAACGTTGTGTTGTGAAACAGGGGCATTGTGTCGTTCACTTTGCGTAGAGGTGTGAACATCCCTCTGCCGGGACATCGAGGGGTTAACAACCACTACACGACGTGCAGATAACAATGAACAACAGCTTAACAATATCTTGTGTTTTACTTAAACAGTAGTTTACTCTTTAAATTCTTTCTTATCCATTATATAAAGTTTTCCATTGGACTTCTTTAAAAACCTAATTATGATAAACAATTAATCCGAAACTCTGCTTACTCTAAAAACAACTAAGAATTTAAATCTTTTAATTTTAAACCTTTACAATTTCACTTCCAATGAAAACTCATTAAAACTGTTAGGTTTAGGTACATATCTTGTTACTAACTATTATACATTTTAATGAAATCAACCAACGGAGTTATTAAGCCTTGCGTTAACAAACGATCAGATTATTTCTCGGCACAAACAAGGGAAACCAATTTGGTAAGTAAAAATGTCCACGTTCGCTGCGAGCCTTTGTTAATAAAGAAATTGTTGGTGCGATATAATGTATCAATAGTTCTTATTTCGAATGTATGGTAGTGGCAGGTAATCTTTTAACATTGCTATGAGGATGTAAGGCAGGATCAGTTCCTTACTGTTAATTTAGCACGTCTTAGCAGAATTTAGGTTAGGATTACCTAACCTAAATTCTTGTCAAGAAAATGTGTTTTAGTGTTATAGCAGAAAATAATAATAAATACCAGATAAAAGTCAATAAAAACTAAATATTTGAAGAAATAAACTCCTATGTTATTCGTTTAAAATTGTTATCATAAAGTGGGTCAATAATTAAACACAATCAATATTTAAACAAACAATTAATTGGATTTGATAAATTCTGCAAAAATCATCAGACGCCTTTGTTAAGATTTAATCTTATAGCGCGACATCAAAAGATCACGTGTTCAGATCTGCAGCCTCGCCATCCTCAGTTGTACACTAATTAAAAAACAAAGCAGCAAGTTGACAATATCAGTGCAGTATCATCAGTGCAAACATCTCGATACACACTTACCCTATATATTCAATACTTTGCTCATTTTTGGTCTACAGCTTCCCTAAATTTTTCGACGAGAGATCTTGAGGAAACTAATCATCAGTTATGTAACAAAATCTAATTATAACAGAGATGACCTAGAGAATAAAGTCGCAGTAAAGTTGTAAAAAACCTTAACTAGCAAAATACCGTTATTTCGCATGTATTTTTCATAACAAAGGATATAACTAAGAGAAGAGAGACAGTTGTTACTTAACTACTATAAAACACTAAGTAATGGTAGAAATCAGCAGACCAGACTCCGATTAATTAAGGTACAGTACGGGAAACGTACGCACTTAGCATTTTTCAAGCATCTCACGAGTGTTATCATTACTTAACTAAGACTGTATTACTTACCGGCCACTCAGCATCTTTCTAATATCACTATTTCAAATATAGCACTAGCGAAAATTTCATGAAATATGTAAACAAAGTATACACATATCGTAGGACTTATTTTTGTTTAAAAATTGACGAGAACAATTTATTAAATTAATGTAACAAAGTGCAATGAACCGGCAGTTGTTTTGCGCAAGGAAAAGCTCTCCCGTAGCGGAGGTGCGCAAGGGACTGAGGGTTGCTTTGCCCGGCAGTGGGGTACGTTCAGAAACAATCTGATTTCTGCAATACGCAGGCGTGTGTTTATTGTTACGTATTCGCCTCTACGCGATGTTTACGAGCTCATTTTTAATTATTAATACCTGTGCCAGCCGTAATAATTGAAGGTTAATATTCGGAAAATTATTAAATAGTTCTAATGGCAAATTTAAACGTAAAACGGTGGCAGCAGCGAAAGGGTAAAACTAACCCAGTTCAACACTAACAAGAACGGGCCGCGTATCATATTTAGTGTTTAATTTCACTTATTCAAAATGTTAATATTGCATTAAAGCCCTTAATCTGTTATATAACGTGGTTAAATATTATTTAATATGTCATAAGCAATATAAAAATATATTTGACAACAATGTTCTTTAAGGAAAACTGAAAACACATTTCAGAACGTGCATAATCGATAAGGCGGGAAAGCGGCGAAAGCGCGGGAAGTCCGCAGGGGTAGCCATTTTGTCGGGTGCGTTGCTATGACAACGTTAAAAAAGAGACTAACATTACGTGATGAAGCAATAAATAAAACAAAAAAATATTTTAATTTGAACATTTTAATCAGATTTTAATGCGTGTACAGATTTACTTGCTTAACATATCTTAATACGAAATGCAGTTAATGTGCTTAGAGTAATTATACAAAACCCAAAATGTGAAAAAAAATTATTTAAATTTGTAAACATAGCGTATGCACCAGTAAAATCTGGTAAATTCGGGGCGCTAAACGGATCAGTGAAGCAAGTGAAGCCAATAAATCAGCACCTGCTTCCCACCTCGTCCCCGGAGGGCGTCGTAAATATATACTAAGCAGTACACGTGTCTGCGAAACCCGAAAGATTTGTGCCAGTGAAAGAAAATGACACGTTATATAGATTTGTTGATCTTACTCACTAGAGAGAAGCTATGCTACTATATACGCATACTAAAAATTAATTTTGATTATATTATATTAATATTAATATTAAAAGATACACAGTTAACTTTCATTTTTCTCATTTTACTTCTTTTTTAAAATAAATATACATATCGCGCAGTACATGGATTAAATAGCCCTCAATTAGTTTTTCCATCCTAACATTATCAAAAGTACAGCGAATTACGGTTTAATAAAAGACATCACGAACGATCACTCAAGTGATTACGTTAAGTGACGACCTCCACAAACGAACCTGCATTATTCACAAGTTCTACAAGATTTTCGAAACACACAAAATGGGCAAAGCAACCATTGCATTTTACGAGTTTGTAGTAAGATTCAAATAATATAAGGAATGGTTTATGCGTTTAGCATGTATGCAGCTATTAACTATAACATGTGGGAAAGTGGGTAAAAAATGTGGGTCACTGCGGACCTAGGAAAAGGCGTGGCCGATTGCCTGTACGATAGTGTTTTAGATCATTGACCTCATGCCATTTTATTATTTGAATATACTGAGATAATTTTTTTGGATAAATTAGTGCTTATTTAGCTACTTCAGTAAAAATGTTATACTTTTATAATAAAATAAACAAAAACCTTATACTTATCGTTTAATGCTTTACTTTGTTTTTTTGCAGTTTCGTTATTCAACGTAAGAATATTGACATTGTTCTATCAATTTTCTCTCAATCTCGTAATGTGTCGTCAGCCCATTCTAAGTACAATTCAATTCAGGGATTCAATTAATCGCGGCGATTAGTTGTCAAGGCCGGAGGAGGCAAGAATTGGTTTATCTTGATTAAGCGGAACGATTCCGTAGGGAGAGATTACTCTATTTTTCGGACGCAAGTGATCGTACAAAGGAATTTAGATTTTCTTTGGCTCAAGTGTACAATTTCGGTTAACGTTGTTATATGAATGTGCCATTGCTTATTGTTACTGCAAAGCAGTGCATTAGACTCAGAGGAGGCTACTGAAATGTCGATACCACAACAATATTCACATAACAACTCACTGTTAAGTACTTAACAGACTTTCTCTTTAAAAATAAACGTACCTTCGCGTGTTTGATTATAAATATCTTGAGAACTCATACTGGCCAAGAAGTGGATGACCTGAAGAAAAAAGTAACATTAGTAAGTTTAGTATTACTTACTAATCTCTATAAATGGACTGGCTATACGACGTAGTATTTTGTGCGTATTTGATTTCGCTATTTTGGCGCTGATGGTACCAGTTTGGATTAGTGGTGTGGATTCAAACTAATAATATAGACATAATTAACTGTCATTTAACATCAACTGGCCCGTTTAAATTGGAACGAAGGAAAATCAGTCACTTATAAGCAATCGCCTAGAGTTGGGTTATTAGGTCTATTCCATCAAGCTGGCTCTGTGCGGTTTGATTTACATCTTTGAATTATTTGCAGATGTGTGAACTACGTACATTCTTCTTCACCATAAGAAGTTTTGATTATTGTAATTTGGTAAACTTGGCGGGGAATCTCTTCTCTTTTTATACTTTTATCATAGTTTTCCTAATGTTTTAATTGTAAAGCCAGGCCAACAACATAAAAGCCCTGTCATGAGGGCGACACAATCTAAATTAATATTGCAACACTTTACATCTATGTCAATACATCATACGAACTTCCGAATTTTATTTCCTCAAGTCTAAGAATATAAGGTTCTCCGCAATAAGACGAAGACTTGCATTTTTCTAGATAGCCTAAATAAATAAACAGCAAGCAATCCTACCTTGAATTTTGTGTATTCAATCCAAACAGAATCTTTACATAATAATTCCTATAACGAAAATCCGAAACAACTGTCACTGTCATATCACTCATCTGCTGTCATCTGTCATTACTTTATCTCATAAATGTCTGAAATTATTCTTTTGAATAAAAAATATAATTGAAATGTAATTAGATAAATATATTACACCGTTTGGTTCTATGCAAGCAGTCAATAAGATATTACTAAAACGATCGCGGCCGTCAGTGTTCGTCTAGGTCCGACTGTGCACCGTTTACAAAACTAGGAAGTAATGCAGATGTACATTTACTTGTTGGATACAGGTGGTGCGTAGGACGTACGACGTAGCACTGTGCTTACCTGTTTGTAGATACAAAAGATTCACGCTCCGTTTGGGATTGTTACAGATAATATCCCATGAGCGACGAGTGCTCGAAGCCAAGCGTAGAATTGTTGCTGAGCAGACAAAATGACGCGCCCCGGTCCCCCGAGCGACAATCTCCCGACAGTAAGCTATTTACTTGTTAATTGTTTGTTTAATAATTATAAAAACATACAAACAGGACAATAGAAACTTGACTTGTACCTTTTTAGTGTCTTAATTCCTTTTAATGCTTGTATTATATGTATATTGTAGTTAAATATTAATTATTATTGTCATTGTATAGTTAGTAAAATGATTTGTATTAAAATCCAGAGAGTCTGAAATTATTTGAATATTGATTTTTATATATTTGTAAGTTGAAAGATATTAAAAGTGATATGATATACTAATTGCTTGGGGACAAGTACATACTTGCTTGATAAGATATGTGGAAGTAAATTATTTGTCTGTTTACAAAGTGCACACAGAGATCTTATTGCCAAAATAAAATAAATAACTGGCTTGATTAATAGTGAATATGATCTTAATGATAATTTAAATACTTTAATCTTAACAATTAAAACCTTAAATTTTTTACAAAATTAAAGAATTTTGAAGAATAAACAGTAAAAGTATATACGAGGATTTTTTAAAACATTCTGCCACTACAATTTATTATGTTAGTAATGTCAAAAACCAATTTAACCAATCAATTAATTTCATTTGAAGTTTGAACAAAGAATTAACCAATTGTGAGGTATCACTTGGTAATGTGGGTGGTCTGTTTCTATTTATTTTCTTAATTAATATGGTGTTGCAATGTTTGTTGGTTGCCAGTTAAAGTAATTGAACATAGGAAAGTAACAGCGGAACTGTGTGGTGACATGTATCAATGTGACATGATATGTGCTGGTTGCAGGTGAAGCTGGTAGTGGTGGGAGACGGTGGCGTGGGCAAGAGTGCCATCACCATCCAGTTCTTCCAGAAGCTGTTTGTGACGGACTATGACCCAACCATTGAAGACTCTTATATACAGCACACTGAAGTGGACGGACAGTGGTGCATTTTGGACGGTACTTACATGTTTATGTAATTCTTATCTCTATTTTCTTTATACCAAAAGGAGGGTAATGAGTTTTATGTAGTACAAAGTAGGTTGTAGGAATATAAAATGGAGCTGTAGTATTCAATTGTAGAAGCGATAGGGGCAGGTTTATGCCCAGCAGTGGGCTACATATGGTGGGAAAGAAGAAGAAACAATGGTCATTTGTAGGTTCTGTTAACAAGGTAGTAGGTAGTTCTCATCATACACAAAAATCTATTAAGTGGTTTAGTGTTACAGTGCAGTTGTTTTTTAAGTTTAATTTTTATAAACATACAATAATCTTTATATTAATAATATAAGTGTAGAAGTAAGGGATGAGAGTGTGCTGTGTGTTGTTCCAGTGCTGGACACGGCTGGACAGGAGGAGTTCAGCGCGATGCGGGAGCAGTACATGCGCAAGGGGGACGGCTTTCTGCTCGTGTACTCCGTGACAGATGCGCAGAGCTACCAGAACATCCGCCACTTCCACACGCAGATTCTGCGCGTCAAGGACAGGTCGCTCCGCTCATACACACATCGCATTCACAATCTTTTCTAGCTAACATAATACAAAAGATCTTTTAAAGTGATTTTATCTAATAGACCTAGATGTCAGCAACATCTGTTGCACGCAGGTATCAGCTCCACCGGTGCAATACCACCACCATTCAGACCACCAATGGATTCGGCCACGGATGGAATGTTTATAAAGGAGAAATATTCTCTTTCTGTGCGCCCTTTTCTCCGGCGATTAAATGTAGGCGATGCATCTGTCTTTGCCTACATTTCGATGTTCGGCGAATTTAAGTGGCCGCTTGGCCGTTTGCCATCTTATTATAATAAAAAATGGTTGTTGTAGACAAAATAATAAGGTATAAATTAAAAGTGCGTGTGTGTGTGTGTGCGCAGGGAGACGTACCCGATGCTGGTGGCGGCCAACAAGGTGGACCTGGTGCACGCGCGCGCAGTCAGCGAGGAGGCGGGCCGCGAGCTGGCGCGTGCGCTCGCCGCTCCCTACATCGAGACCAGCGCCAAGGAGCCGCCGCTCAACATCGACGCCGCCTTCCACGAGGTCCGCCCCGCCCCCGCCCCCGCCCACAGCCCCGCCCCCAGCCCCGCCCACAGCACTCACGCACTGCGGCATGTTGCAGCTGGTGCGCATCATCCGCAAGCACCCGCAGCAGGAGGAGAAGCAGCGACGTCGCCGGCGCGGGCTCGGCCGCTGCGCGCTGCTGTGAGCTCCCCACCGGCCGCATCATCATCATCTCACCTCACTGTACTCGGCTCATTGATACTTCTACTGAGGCGACGTAAGTTGTCAACATCCGACCATTTTAGTGACTAAGCGACTTAGACAATACAATATTATGGAGATTCGTACATGGCGGGGAACGCCGACGATCTTAACAGAGGATCGCTCACGACCCGTTTCCTGAAAAATGCGCTGTAATTTTGGAAATGGCGCAACAAATCTGTTTAGTTAAGTGATAGTCGCTGAGCCGGTACTAACCGATAACACAACTCGCGTCAACAACTCCACTTTGTGCAGTGGGAGCGCGCGCAGACATGCTATATTACTTTCGAAGGTTTCCGTCGTTTTGTAAAAGAGGGAGACGAGAAACTCCCTGCACAATATTCACTATCGGGACAAATCAATATTCAATGTTTGAGATCGATTCCAAAATTATTTTAATTACAGTTTATGTTTTGGTCAGAAATTCCGCACAAAATTAATTTGTGGTGCAATTTACACTTTACATAAAATGTAGATATATTCTGTTGTATGATGTCAGTCGAGCTTGGCGAGAGACGAGAGATGGCGCTTCTCATAACTGTATGAAAGTTACTGTGTTGTTGTTGAGCACAAAGTTTCATTTGAAGACTGTTTAAGAACACAAATATTATTGTAATTTGCACTTTATATTTTTGTTATTATTTGTTTATACAATTAGTTGTAATATAATTGTTTATATGTTAGTACATAATATTGTAAATTAACTGAATACATCAAATTCAAATCCCTGTCGATGTTGGAAATATAATAAGCTGTAAGCGATACCAAAACAATAAATACCAAAGATTACAAAAGAAATTAAATGTTTCAGAACGACAACGATTATATTTTGTAGTTGATAAGAAAATGTATGGAATTGAAATTAAATATAGGGATAGTAGATATGTGGAGGCTCATTTGATGTATATATTGGATAAATGCATTTTAATATAAAATTATATAACTGTCTGGACACAATGCGTGAACACTTTCACAAAACGTATTGTAATGTTTAGTACATGTAGTCGGCAATGTTTAACTGTATTTTGTAATCCACAAAGTTCTGTTACGATTATTTATTTATAAATTGTACAAGACAATATCGCAAAGTTGCTCGTTTATTTGTAAGACTCCATGTCGGTATATTTACTTGTAATATACAAAATATTAGTATTGTCCATACATTATGTAAACTTTTAATAAATATAATTTCTCCAACGATAAGATTCCAATAACTGTAAGTGTCATGCAATCATTGTTTTTTTCTCGCGGCAGTCTCCTGTCTGTGGCAATACTTTCATCTAACAATTCCCACAATTTGACTTTGCTATAATTCTAGGCATTTTCTGTAGAATAAACAATGTATTAAGAAGGTTTGTTACAGCGCCATCTGTTAGTAATTGCGGATACTGTATCGTTAGACTTTGCTTTGAATTGTCAAACTGCTTGAAAGTACGGTTAATATTTCAAAATGTACTTTCTAATGGTTGAAATTCCAGCTTTTTTCCATTGGAATATTCTTAATTTCTACAAACCAAAGATGTAAGTTGAAGCCGTTTAGTCTAGTCCTACGTTACTACGCAGGCAGCAGACAGCAGGTAGCAGAGAGCGCACAGGCAGGAGCACGTCGCTCACTTCACTAGATGTAAGCATGAAGCATGTTGGTGTATATTGTTGTTAATGTATGTTTGTAACACAATTAAAATATGTGTCTATTGCTTGTTTCATTTCATACAATAAATGTTGCCGAAACTCAGTCGTAAATCTATAAAAAATAATTTTATAAAGGTAAAGTCGTAAATAAAGCAAAGATGAGGTGTTGCCGGGACGTGCCGCGCGACGCCGACACGCGCTTAGCCTCCAGCTTCCAGCCTCCGCCGCCACAGATTAACCTAATAATAACAAACGTCCCTCCCCTCTATTATCCTCATCTCCCGCACCTCTGTGTACTTTATCATCGTCAATAATAAAAATCCTCCACAATTTGTATAATAATGTAAAATTACATAAAATTAATCTTTGTTCATTGAAGTTATGTTTGTGATTTAGTTAAGATTAAACTGCGGGATCCCATGTTGTGTCTGTCTATATTAAGCTGTTCTCGCAACCGTGGGTTTCTGAGACAAATCATCTTTTTGAAATGATATTGTTATCTCTGTATTGTCAGTGATAGTGATATGTTTTATATACAGAGATTTTAGTCTCGGACGCCAACGATAAATCTTTCTGAAGGTTTCTACTAACAATAACACTTGTATCGAAACACATCATCTTCCCTTCATCTCACAAGTATTTCCGGTGAGGAATTTTATTGCTCTGTTATCAGTAAAAGTATGATAATTGTCTCTATTAATTTCAGTTCTAATATAAACAATTTTATGTCTGCTAAAAATATTTGTTTTAGTTCCACAGTCACTTTTATTGTATATTTTCCTACATATTTAGTTTACTAAATGGACATAACTATCTTGAGGGATGAAATGAATATAGGACATAAAAGATAGAAGGTATGCATTCCAATTTAAAATTTGTAGACAATCTGTTGATTGTCCGAGCTACTCAAACAAAGTGTCCTCAAATTGGAAGACAAACCTCAAATAAAATAGCCGCGGTCGAGTTGAGACTTTTGTGGATTTAATCAAAGTTTCTGTCATCGGACGTGCGCCTACTTGACAACGACTTGAAAAGTATCTTAAATGCACAAAATCAAACAGATTTCGAAAGCATTTTATATATAGAAGAGTGATTAAAAATATCTTTTGATTTAATTTGATTATCTTTATTTTAATATTCAGCACTAACCGGAGACCTACTGACATAATTATAAAATCTTATTCATTTTGAATGGGCGATTTCTTTATCTTTTTATTTAAATCTCACTGAAAATGTTAAAGTAATTAAAAGTGTGAATACACAAAGAAATCCATTGCGAGAGAAAAAAGCTTGTCGCTCGAGGCAGGGAATTAATCGCCTCGAGCGAGCTTCAAGTAACCCAGTTTTACGTCGTCCCGTCCCCTGCCACCTCGCCTGCGCTCACAGCTTGATGGCTGCGGACTGCGAGTGCCTCTCCAGAATCACATTTTACATCAACGACGACATTGACTGTCAAGTCAAATTATATAGTCATTTAAAATTTTACCTTTGTCCTCAAGTAAGTTAGGAAGGTTTTAAAAGTGCCATAAACTTCTAAAGATTGTTGTACCGTATTCATCGCGGCGGGGGCATTGCTGTGCCCTCAGTGTCAATGTTAAGTATTATACATTGTGTATCACTAGTTGCGAAAGTTATTCTATGATTTGTCGTATTGAAATAACTAATCCGTTTCTAGTGACGAAAAACTTGTACAAAATCGTATAACGTCTATTTTCTGTTGGTGTCTGATGACAATATGATTTTGTGTATATATTTCGGCAATGGAAACCCACGGGAATATTGTTTATATAATTTCCATCGTAATGAAGACTCTATTGTATCAACAAGTAAATGTCAAATATAGAGATTGGAGGAACGCCCACACGACCAATTTCACGATCCGTTGACCACGGTGCGGCACGGGGTGGGGCGGGGTCGGCGGCGGCTTCCGGGATCAAAGGAGTAATCAACACGAGCTCACCGCATGCTGCGACCCCGACGCTGGCGACCGTGTAATTAGTCCTCGCCTACACTTAGACACAAAGCAAGGCTACTGTTGGTGTGTCGCCTGACAGCCTGCTGAAACGACAATAGATAATATTTCAAATTAAAAATATTTTCTTAGAAATAAATTTAGCATCTATTGCTCCACAAATTGAGGAAAACTTGAATTACAGCTAAGTTACTAAAAAGCTTTTCTTGTTTGGTTTCTCTTTTTCTCCTTTACATGTGTTTTACGTGACGAGAATCTGAACAAATGTTGTACATTATAGTTAAAGGTAATTTTTAGAGGGACATGAGCATATTATCAAGGAAAGAAGTTTATTAAAACGTATGTTTTTTGTACAAAAATAGTAGACCATTGTTAAAGCAAAAACGTAAAGACAAATCAAAGTGGCTTAGGTCGGCTGAGCCCCGCAAGTCCGGAGTCGCGTCACTGAACACGCGGCAGTTGTTCTGAAAACTTCGGATAATCCGATGTCGTGCCGCCGTTAACTCTCCCACACAAATTAGGTCAAACGGATTGTGTTCAAGGTTTGCTTTTAAACTTGTTACAATTTCCCTCGATGACGTCACACAATCTTGTACTACGCTATTACGTTGTCATTCGCAATCCAATCAATCACTATTATTACACTGATCTGTTGGAGAAAGGTCGATCAATCTTATGGAGACATTATCAGTCAATTTTGAACTTAACTATTGGCCTCGTTAAAAAGCGTAAATGAAAAACGGATTTTCTTTTATTAAAATAAATTTCTTTACATCAATCCATAACCTATTTAATAGTAAGTGTAAATTTAAAATGTTATTATCATGAGTGGTGGGTGAACATTAGTCGTCGTCTCCGGCAGTCAGCTCACGTCCGTCTCACAAGAATTCTAAATATACTTTTTTAAATCCAATCTCGCTAGAAGCTGCGTAGTTTTGAATGTAAATCGGCTTGACGTTCAATAATATATTATCTTTATCGTGTGTAGGAGCGTGAGCGTCTGTCTGACACATGCGAAGAATATAAAAATACTCGTATTAAACGTATTTATACATTTATAATAATATATTTATACTTGCGATAATTTAATTTTATGTCGCAAATTTATATCGAAAAATGATATGAATTATTATTTCTTGCCATGTAATGAACATCCTCGTCTCACGTTGTCAAATAACGAAATTTGGCAACAATTAAAATGTGTCGCTAGAATTTATATAAGAAAATAAAGAAATATTTTGCTAAGAGAGATGTGAGAGGTCTGAACTAAAACGAGATAAAGGTGATGATAAAAGTTCGTGAGCTCGGCCGCACTGCACTGATGTGCCAAGTTATTTCCCATTCAGTTGTCGAGAGCTCGGCTCCGGAGATCGAATGGTTTTCATCAGCATTTGCACAAAGTTTACGCCGCTACGAGCCGGCCACTGCTTTCAAATGCTAATTCCACTATTTATCAACCGCTTCGCGCGATCCTTCAATATACTTTCACCATAAATTGTTAACACAGCTCATACCTAGCTTGTGTGATAACGAGGTTACTCGCTACAGTATGTTTAACATTTAGAGTTAATTTTAATGAGAATCAAATTGGCGCGCTCTGTCAATAATGTCGATCGTAAATGTTAATTATAAATAGAAGTTGTAATGATTTGACACAAATTGTATGATTTACATTTCAGTACATATGATAATGAAACACATTTACATTTCAAATTATACTTTTCCTTTTAATATTTCTTGGCAATTGAAATTTTAATGTATTCTACATCAAACGGCGCCGCCGACCATTTCATAAAATATTCTTTTAATTTTCTCAAGAAAATTATTAGGTCATTCATTATTTGACGAAACATTTTTGATGAGTTGTAAAAATCCGTGCGATTTGCTACAGATGTTAATTAAAAATATTGTGAAACACAAAGATAAAGAAAGATCAAGTATGTTAACTTGGTTACCTACTAAGAAAACAATTTTAACTTGAGCTAAACAAATTAAAATAGTGTTAACAGCTGAAATAATTCTAATATTTAACGGAATGCAAAAGAAAAGTGTAATCAAGAACATTTCTTTATTTCAAAAGTAAATGTTAAAAGTCATACCAACGTTTGCGTACAATTGAATTATTTAAATTTTCTGTGAGAGGTTTTATTATATTCCTCATGCGATAGAAAATATAAACAATGTATATGAAAGAGTGCGGGAGGAGGTCGGCAGGCAGGCAGGCAATTTGCAAGGACAATGCGCGCCGCTAACGACGGCCCCGGGGAGCCATTGTACACATTCCTTGCCGCACATTATATACTCAAGATTTTTATCTGCGGACACACAAGCAACACAAGTCATCTCAATACATTTACATACATACATACATACATACATATAAATACATACATACATACATTACAATACAATATCACATCTCTAAGTTATATTATTTTTTATTATGAATATCATCTTGTAAAGTTGTAAAGTTATTAAAATATCTACGTTAGTTTCCACTTTCAAAGGTTCAGTTACACCAGTTTTATTCTCTTAGAAATAATTAGAGACAATAATAGTGTTCTTACACGAGCGCTACGGCAGCTTGAATTCGAATCGTAGAGTCCACGGGCGGCGTAGAGGGTCCTAACATAGATAAACTAAAAAGTTGATAAATATTTATAATCAGTTCACATATTATTTGACAGGGAATTAATTGTTTAATTGTTTCACAACTTACATTTCCGTGCACCGATATGTAAAGTCGTTAATAAAGTATTAAATTACGGAATTAATATTGTCCAGAAAATTGTGATGCTTTGTATTTAATAGCTCCATTAAATTATCCATTTCCATGAAATTTGATTTAACAAATGGTATCCATTACATGTTGTTTACTTCAACAATTTTGTTAGAACAAGTCTTCGTCCGCAGAGATTTAACATCCATTAGTTAAGAAGTGATCGATCTATGTGTGTGCGGGGCTGAGGCGGGGAGGAGGCGGAGGCGAGGCGGGGAGAGGAGGACCGGATGCACGTTAAAGTTTACGCGCTGGTGTTGATCATCCGTCATCCTGACCTCCCTCCCACCTGTACGTTGAGATACTCTCATAATTTAAATCGTGATTTCAATTCGTCAATAATCAAGCTTGTAACAACACAATTTAGACGAGTCTATAATTTAAAACGAAAACTTTAAATTATGTTTTTCTAGAATATTCGTGAATATTAACACGTTTAATGTTACATTTGTTTCGAGAGTATCAATTCGTTCCGTAAAATTTATTCAATAACTATGGAAATATGAGCTGAAGACAACATCGCATCGCATCGCACACACACACACAGCGTGTTTGTGAATATATATTATATATAAATATACAACTTTAACGTCTAGTTTCCACTGCTGAAACACTCACATTTTTATT